GGGCAACCACGAGCACTCAATTATTTATCATTGCTAAGCAGTTTTCGTTGGTTCTTGAACAGGGCTCTGAGAGTTGCAGGTGTCATTTGTGGAGGTTGATAAGACTGATGACAGATTGACGAAGAATCTGGAACTGTGTACAGTAAAGAAAATAATCCTTTTGAGGGGAACTGTTCTGTCAGGACCCGTCATGTTGGTTCCGTTATTAATTTAATTCATACTTATTTCTGTAATTCAGTACTTATAATGCTGATCGGTTCAAGTATTCTTCCTTTGATTTGTTTTTCCAGCTTTGTGCATCTCCACGCTCTGATTAGAAAGAAGGGCATGGCATTTGCTGCTGCGGATGCTATCATGTGCTTGTCCCCCTGTGGAAATAGGAATCACAGGGACTCACAATAGCAGCTTTGTGAGACATGTCTCCGCTCTCTCTCTGGCGCTTTAGTTCTCCTGGTCATACAGTCAAACACGTGTCTTCATCACTGACTGGAAATGAAGACTTAATCAGAAAGGAAACCCAGTTGTGGGATAGAGCCTTGGGAGCATTATTGTTTTACAAACGTTTATTGTTAAACCTCCTCTTGTAAAATTGAAAGTCAAAGATTTTTTTTCTATTTTGCTGCTTGTAAATGGAACACTGCCTATGTCTTCAAATGATGTGCTCCCACCTCCCAGGAGACTTGTTTAATATGTGATCATGACAAAATAGTGTTTGCGGCACAGTGGCTGAGTGGATAGCACTCTCGCCTCTCAGTTGGACCAGGGCCTTTCTGAGTGGAGTTTGCATGTTCTCCCCGTGTCTGCGTAGGTTTCCTCCGGGTGCTCCGGTTTCCCCTACCACTAAAAATATGTACAATAGGTCTGGCATGTGCCTCCTGTACTGGTACCCCCACTCCCAAAAATAACAACTGTAAACCGCTTTGAGTTTAGTTTAGTTTAGTTTACTTTATTTATTTGATCAGGGACAATGCACAAACAACATTAGTCTAAAAAAAAAGAGATGTCATGGGCCAGGTTATAGCAAAAATGCTAATTTCCACCCGCAGTCCCTGGACAGGTTGATGTTATAATTAAAAGAATTCATAAAATATATACAGAACTCCGATGTGCAGTGAAAAGGCGGTATATAAATAATGATTACTTACTTACTTACTTTATTGTGCTATAAAATGTAAACTGAACAAAGAATTCTGAGGTGAGTGACCAAAAACATAATTTGTTCTGGTTCCATGTACCAAATGGCTGCGTTGATTTTCAAAAGCAACATAACAACATCTCATTATAGTAATAATAGTATAATAGACAAAAGAACTGTGGGTGTATAGTGGGGTCTTCTGGCCGATGGTATTTGATGAGAATATAGAATAGTCAAACATGCATAAATCACTCTCAAAAACTACATTGAGTGTGTAAAATGAGAATTTAATTATAATGTGACACAACAGAATTATCTTACCCACTCCAGGGCCTCATCCTATATTATTTTAACTAATCCTTCAAAGTTACTGAGACAGACTTCTCCAAATTGTTAATTATGGCTGAGTTTCCAGGGAAGTCTGAGGTTATAAATGGCTTGTTCCGATTGGTCCGGTCTCTGTTCAGAGGGAAAAACACTCCAGTCGCATACATGCTCGTTGCCTTGTTTCAAACATGCTGCTTTGGCATGGACTTCAGATGTGCTCCAGATCATACCAGGGGACTCTCGCAGGGTTTTTCCCAGGCCTGGAGCCCCACAAATAGTTCTGTCCAGCCCATTCTCAAAGTTTCCCACTCCTCAAACTCCAGCTGAATTAACAATAATGAGAAGTCAGGAATTTTAATGACTTTATTTAAATTTCCCCAATTGTATAGTTAATGAATTATACACACTGAGAGGGTTAAAATAACTGTCCGTATTGTGCAGGACCATTTTAATTCAGAAAATAACTTGGTAGAGACGCCCTCCAGGTGACGATACTGGTCAAATCAGTGAAGAGGCACGTCAAGAATCAATGAAAGTTTGGGGGCTTTTTGCCAGGAAAGACAAATAAAAATAAAAATACAATGATTGATGTAGACCTTGGTGGCCTTAGCTGAAGCCAAAGAGGACCGTTTATAAAGCCCAGTTTGTGTTAAAATAAGGGATGTGGAGATAAATGTAATATAAATTAATCTATGCCGTTTATTAGTCGCTTTTTGCATTTTTACAGTCACAATTTTAATTTCCCCAAGCGGGTAATGTCTTCTCGTGCGCCTTTTACATATGGTCCTAGGTTAGTATCTGGAGTACATTTCTCCTGCAATGTAACAGTGTTCAACTTTTCTAATAGAATATACTAATAATATGAATTTGTTTTTTTTTTTAAACGGTACCACCATTACCACTGTGGTTGTGTTGTTAACCACAAAGCTGCCAGTGTCGACACCAGGCCAACTGTACTGACTAAAAACTAGTCTATGGGGATAATACCACACCAGGACAAACAGGCAAAGGACAACAGAACACATCTTAAATCACAATGTTCTCACAATAGTCTCACACTTTAATCAAGCTGAGGCATGCAATTGTTTCCTCCATCTGTTGTGACTAGACCCAGCTTTGTAGGAAGGGCAGGAAAGAGTTAAAATAAAAGCTGTGGGGCGGCTTGGTGGTCCCTGGAGTTAGAAAAGAACATGAAGGATTGTAATATTCTTTGGGTGGAGTGAGGTGGTGAAGTCACGCTTGGATCTAAAAGAGATTGATGCAAGTATGAACGATAATAAAGGCCATGTTGTTTTCATATGTAAGAGCTTAGTGAGGGAAGTGAGAGCACACACCCAGGAAATGTAGCAACACTAAGAGGAACATGTGCTCAGAGGGTTCCATCAGTGCAACATTGAAGTGCAATATGAGCCACAATCAATACTCAGTCCAACTGTTAACTGATCAATGTCAGGAGAGCAAAGTTTACACAAACAAGCTCTTAGAATTGTGAATACTGTAAATTCAGATTGATACAATCCTGGGATGAAAAAATCAACACCTGTTATTTTTTTCATTGTTTGCTAATGCCTTGCTCTCATAACAGTTTGGTTCTATCACTATTTTTCTTTGGACGACAAGTCTGTAATAAATAAATCTTACAACTAATCTAACTAACGTGCATTTTTGCCCTATGCATTTTTGGGCTCACATATTTTTCAGACAGAAAAGTGATAATGAAGGGGCAATTGTTTGTAAGAAAAATTGACTCACAGGGTTTTTTCTTACAAGTTTGCAAAAGATACTGTGGTTTTTATTAAAATGAGGACAGCATGATGTGGCCTGATATGCCACGACATGCCTACTTTTTCTATATAGTAGTATGTAATAATCTGGCCAAAAGGGTACTGCACGCGCCCTGACTCAGGTTGCCAGATATGCAGACGAATCAGCTGGGACCATAACAGCTGAATAAAGACTTTAGTCAACAACAAATCTATTCCAAAAAGATAGAAATCCTGGTTTTATTCCTTGTTTTTTCATTAATGATTTGAGAATCATAACAAGACCGTTTTTAATTCCGCGGCCACATGGTACTTTACCAGTGAGATTAGCTCGACGCGGTGAGTTCTGGCGCCCGGATCACAGACTTTCTGATTGGTGAAACGGTGGAGGGCGGGACATCGAAATCAAAAATATAACAAGATTTACAGGCTGTAAAACTAATTTAGAAATACAAATATCTCGGCTGAACTACTGTTTTGAGTTAAAGAAGTATTTGAAAAGAGCATGTACTTTAAGACTAATAAAATGTATACATCTGTAGGGGAAAGTTAGATACTCCAGCTTTAAATGTGTGCATAAATAGTATAATCTAATACTTATTAACTGATTCCTGATTCACTACTGTGTAAACAGGTCTGTATGTGTTTCTAGTACCAACCATAACATTGCAAAAACCTTGCAAGACGTGTCAACAAGACAAAGACATCACTGCATTGTACAATCCTTTTCTCAGTAAACACCATGTTGCAACCACACTGACCAGCTCCTACGTTTTGCACATTCCATTTCTTAACGCAATGGAGCCGGACACCGATATACGCGGTGAGGTCATGGTGTTCAAAGGGGTCCAGAGCCATGGCGGAGGAGGGGAGCCTGGGAAGAGCACAGAGGAGAGGGCCAGGGCCTGATAACAGGGCTGCTTCAAGGACATGTCATGGGGGTGAGCGGGAGCAGCTGCGTGGAGTGGACAACCAGAGTTATGTGAGGACACTGCTGGTGGTTGTGGGAGGATGTCTGCTGTCTTTCCCCATCGGTTTGACATCCACCGCAGTAAATATAGCATTTTGAGGAACTTCTCCCGTCGAGTGCTGACTTTATCATAAATAATTCCACTGAAACCAATCTCGCTGCAAAGGAATAAGGACATGCTGGCCAGTTGTGAGTGAAATATTGCCTAAGTCAAATGGCCTTCTCACCATGAAGTACATTGTATGTAAGTAATTATGGTGGGAAAATGTAGATCAGATCATTTTCTCATAAAGCCGAGGACAGAGCATTCCATCCAATCAGTGGCGCTCTTAACAGAACAGACTGTTTCTCTGCCATGAATCAACATCAGAATCGTTACTGTTATCGGATCTCAGCACATATTTGAGGGAATTTACGCATCAGGGATTGATTCAGTATCTGGAGACCAAAAAGGTTCATGTTTGATATTTATTCTAATAACAAAAAGGTATGAAAATATTAAGAGGAAAAGGGGCATATGTATTATTATATGTCCCTACACCTGTATTGACATTCTCTGACCATTTCCTTTGCAAACGGACAAGTTGTTTTTATCTAGGGAAGTGAAATGAAGACCGGGTCATGTCAGGAGTCCATCTACTTTACAGCTTTTATTTGACCTGCATCGTTCAGTAGAAAAAGCCTCACCTAAACGGCTCCACAGCTGCACTGTCAAACGGAAAATGTTAAATGTTAGGTCAGCAGTTCATGGTTAGATCCTGAAACACTCATTTCTCTCATGTTTTTCTCACTGTTTCCTCTGTAGAAAGACTCTCCATCCAAACCATCGGTGGCTGAACTAGCTGGAAGATTCAAAGGCCATATTCCACCCATGCCCAGCTCAAACAACCAGGTAAATAGGAATAGTATTACAAAACACATTTCCCAACACTCTACTGGAAAACACTTTTTTATTACATAATTGTATAGGTGTGCCGGTTTTTCCTTTTTAAACTGTCTTGTCAAGCGTTTTAATAAAATCTAAAAAACACTCTCCACTTTCCATAGACTGTAATGTTGAGTCTGCTCTGTTGAGTCCCTCCCGCCTACAGGAGGAGGTGGACCGGCTGGTGTCCTGGTGTCTCCTACAGGAGGGAGGTGGACCGGCTGGTGTCCTGGTGTCTCCTACAGGAGGGAGGTGGACCGGCTGGTGTCCTGGTGTCTCCTACAGGAGGAGGTGGACCGGCTGGTGTCCTGGTGTCTCCTACAGGAGGGAGGTGGACCGGCTGGTGTCCTGGTGTCTCCTACAGGAGGGAGGTGGACCGGCTGGTGTCCTGGTGTCTCCTACAGGAGGGAGGTGTACCGGCTGGTGTCCTGGTGTCTCCTACAGGAGGGAGGTGGACCGGCTGGTGTCCTGGTGTCTCCTACAGGAGGGAGGTGGACCGGCTGGTGTCCTGGTGTCTCCTACAGGAGGAGGTGGACCGGCTGGTGTCCTGGTGTCTCCTACAGGAGGGAGGTGGACCGGCTGGTGTCCTGGTGTCTCCTACAGGAGGGAAGTGTACCGGCTGGTGTCCTGGTGTCTCCTACAGGAGGGAGGTGGACCGGCTGGTGTCCTGGTGTCTCCTACAGGAGGGAGGTGGACCGGCTGGTGTCCTGGTGTCTCCTACAGGAGGAGGTGGACCGGCTGGTGTCCTGGTGTCTCCTACAGGAGGGAGGTGGACCGGCTGGTGTCCTGGTGTCTCCTACAGGAGGGAAGTGTACCGGCTGGTGTCCTGGTGTCTCCTACAGGAGGGAGATGGACCGGCTGGTGTCCTGGTGTCTCCTACAGGAGGAGGTGGACCGGCTGGTGTCCTGGTGTCTCCTACAGGAGGGAGGTGGACCGGCTGGTGTCCTGGTGTCTCCTACAGGAGGGAGGTGGACCGGCTGGTGTCCTGGTGTCTCCTACAGGAGGGAGGTGGACCGGCTGGTGTCCTGGTGTCTCCTACAGGAGGGAGGTGGACCGGCTGGTGTCCTGGTGTCTCCTACAGGAGGGAGGTGGACCGGCTGGTGTCCTGGTGCAGTGGTAACAACCTGGAGCTGAACGCCCAGAAGACAGTGGAGATGATTGTGGACTTCAGGAAGAGCACTGTCCCCCCGCCCCCACCCTCCGTGATGGACTCCCCCATCACCTCTGTGGAGTCCTTCCGTTTCCTGGGCACCACCATCACCCAGGACCTCAAGTGGGAGCCGACCATCAGCTCCCTCATCAAGAAGGCCCAGCAGAGGATGTACTTCCTGCGGCAGCTCAGGAAAGCCAAGCTGCCTGCACAGATGTTGGTGCAGTTCTACACGGCCATCATCGAGTCCATCCTAACCTCCTCCATCACCTCCTCCATCACCTCCTCATCACCTCCTCCATCACCTCCTCCATCACCTCCTCCATCACCTCCTCCATCACCTCCTCCATCACCGTGTGGTTCGCTGGAGCCTCCATCACCTCCTCCATCACCTCCTCCATCACCTCCTCCATCACCTCCTCCATCACCTCCTCCGTCACCGTGTGGTTCGCTGGAGCCACAGTCAGGGACAAACAGAGACTACAGCGCATTGTGCGCTCTGCAGAGGAAGTGATCGGCCGCAGCCTTCCATCGCTGCAGGACCTGTACGTCGCCCGAGCTCGAGGCGGGCTGGTCGTATCACAGCCGACCCCTCTCACCCTGCACATGGACTATTCCAACCACTCCCCTCTCACCTGCACATGGACTATTCCAACCACTCCCCTCTCACCTGCACATGGACTATTCCAACCACTCCCCTCTCACCTGCACATGGACTATTCCAACCACTCCCCTCTCACCTGCACATGGACTATTCCAACCACTCCCCTCAGGCAGGAGGCTGCGGTCCATCAGGACTAGAACCTCCCGCCACAAGAACAGTTTCTTCCCCTCTGCTGTTGGACTCTTGAACACTTCTTAACCTGTCCCCCCGCCCTTTATAAAGTCACTTTACTGCCCATCATACGTCACTTTACTTCACTGTACTGCTGTCACCTTACATTGTGTGCACCATGTGCACTTGTATATTGTAAATAGTAACTGTAACTCCATTTTAAATTTAAATTGTTTTTTATTCTTTATTTTTTATTATCTCTTTCTGACTGTTGCACTGAGCCAAAGCAATTTCCAAGTCTGTGACCTCCTGTTACTTACGTGGCAATAAAAATGATTCTGATTCTGATGTTGTTGTGCTATTATAGTTCTCCTGCATATTTAGCTGTTCCTGTTTCAAAATATTGCATATAATATTCTAATATTGTTGTTATTTTTTACTTCATCATTTAAGTACTCTTTTCTTTTCGTATTCCTCACAAACCCCTCAATTAGGGCTGTGCGAAAAACTTGAAGATCAAAAACATTTCTCAATCTCTATTATCGACATGCGCCTTCATATGGAGAGACTGCGGTCATGGGGCTGAAGAGGAGGACTTGTTCTGTCTCCTCAATTCACTGTTCCTTAAAAAAGTTTATGCCTCAGTGCATTTAAATAAAAAAATCAATCAAAAAAATCATAATATTGAAAATCCATATCGATCAATGAGAAAACGATAAACGATAGACTTTCTTTCCAGATCACCCAGCCCTATCTGAATCAGGCTCAAATGTGTGTCCAAGTGTCTAATATATTCATGGCTGTACATTTACATATTACATCTAAGGAATAAAGGAGGTTTTTCCCAAATTTTAGGAAAAATGTCCACAAAACTCTCTGGTCTGATTTGACGAGCGCGTATCACCAGAATGATTGACAATTGAGAGGACCATCCACCTGGAAGTAGAAAATCCTCCTATACCTTTAATGAATGATCATGATGCAAGTGTAAGGACTCTTTAGCGTATACAGGTTAAACTCAAAAACATTTAAATATTGTTCAAAAGTTCATTTATTTCTGTAATTAAACTTAAAATGTGAAACCGATAGACTCATGGCATTCAAAGTGATGTATGTCCAGCCTTTGGTTGTTATAATGTTGATGGCTTACAGTACATTTTCAAAAGATTCAATTTTTTGAGAGATTTTGGGGTTTTTACAGCTGTGGTCCAAATATCAACATTATAACAAATGCATACTTGTTGAGTTTCACAGTGTAAGTTGAATTACAAAACGTTATTCTAATCTTCCCAGTTTCACCTGTATGTTTCTATTGTTTTATAGGCGCCAATCCGACGAAGACCTCCCTGCTCTCTGAAGCTGCAACCCCAAAAGGATGACCCTGAGCACTCTCCAGTAAGTTCATTGCTCCATTGCTTTAGAGGTAGCGCTGGAAAAAACAGCGCTTCTAGCAGTTTTCAGTGCAACAACATTCTTATTTGAGAAACACACAATTAAACGTTTCATTGGTTTTGGAAGAAGCTATTTTTATATCACCCAATACTTGGGATGGTCCCATGTTTGATCCCTCCACCACCCACCGGTTTGTCCTTTGTCAATTTGTAGTTATCTGTTTAACCAAGAACAAGTAGAGCACCTATTAGATCCATTTCAATTTGCATATGTCCTGACTTCTAAAGCTCCTAAAGCAGATGAAATAATTTGTTTTTATTTTCCATGAGCTTGTGAAAGCGTAGTTTAGAACCACGCATCAAAGGTTCATCGGATGAGTTCAAGATGACAAGGGACACTAAAATCCCAAAAATCCAACCTTTATGAAAGCTGTAGGTTCTTTGTCAGCTGAGGTCGAGCTGTTTTAGTTTACATTGAGTTCTATGGGGAACATTTCTGGGTAGCCCACTTGAATTTAGTCTGGTTGAGTCTGCAGTTCCGCGAGAATCCCCCGAGCACATGGGTCCTTCAGCTCCAAGCTAGTTATACCCAGTAATAAATAGATAGATAGATAGATAGATACTTTATTGATCCCCCTTTGGAGAAATTCAGGTGTACAGCAGCTGAAGACTCTTTTTGTTGTTGTTGTTGTATCTCTTGAAACGTTCCGTTCGGCAGTGTAGTGATAGGAGCCTGTTGCTTCGATGACTCCTCTGAGCGGCCATAGTGTCATGCAGAGGGTGTCTGGAGTTACCCAGCATGCCCTGCATTAGTTATATTGTATGCATTATAATATCCAGATATTATAATACATCCATGCCACACACGCATATTTGGCGCAAAGCATCATGGGATCTTGTCCATTGCGCAGAAATGGGAGGACAAGACAATGCCCAAATATGGGCAAGTTCTTTTAATCTTTTGGTGCCCATGGTGGCACAGGTGCTACTGAGCAAAGGCCATTGATTTGAATAAAGAGCCTTCCTGGATCACTGGGGCTTGATTCAAATCAATGGGTTGTGCTCAGTAGTGCATGTGTCACCATTGGCACCAAATAATTTGCAGAAGTCATCCATATTTGGGCATTTCTCTGGTCCTCCCAGTTCTGCGCAGTCGATGAGATCCAATGATGCTTTGCGCCCAATAAGTGTGTGTGGCTCTCATGCATGGGCACAAAGGGGCAGGAAAATGTGAAAATACACATTTATGCGTTAGCTGGCCACTGCCCTATTCATTTAACGAGTGCCTTCTAAAGTCCACAGCGGCTTAACTAAACTGGTCCAAAAACAAATACTCCCCTCTGCATTGACACGTATCTGGAACGTAGCGTTGGGCCAAGGGCCAACTTTTGGACCATCCTGTAAAGCCGTTTTCGAGAGGAAAGAAGATTCCTTCCATGTCCTGCTTCTTTGTTTTTGGACTGCCTCACTATATCGGAGATTCCCAGTTTTGATGGTATATCTAGGCTTATTTAGTCTGTTATTCAATTTGTGTGTAGTCCAGATGCTTTTACATTGAAAGGACTACAAGAAAATTGAAGAACAGACTTTATGAGTCTAAATATGCCATCAAAACTGGGAACCTCCAATACAGTATAGAGACAAAAACGAAGCAGGACATGGAAGTTATGAAAGCCTGAAAATCAGTGGGGGCGGGTCCCGGCTCCAAAAGGTCCATGAGCACATGTGCTTACATGCTTGCAATCTCATTCTGGGCCAGTGGGGGTGGACCCAGAATAAGAATTACCCAATGCTTTTGTAAGGCGTCTTCTTCTCTCTCGAAAACGGCTTTACAGGATGGTCCAAACGATGGCCCTTGGCCCAACGCTACGTTCCAGATGTGTGTCAGACTGAAACTGTTACTTCAACAGGAGTCTTTTTCGATTTATACCTTGAAAGCTGCTTTCAGGGTATAAATGAATTATGAGCTACATCTCTGTCTGTTGCGTCTGTTGTGCCCTGTGTGGTACTGTTCGTTTAAGAGCAACTCCTTATGTACAGAAGAGCTGAGTGCATATGCTATAACCCGTGTAGACACACAAGCCAGCCCCTACAGCGCACAGTAATCCTTTTACTACAGTTGAAAAGGTACTTGAAGGAGGAGGTCCCTCCTCCTCTGTTTCAGCTGTGTTGATTGGGTCTTCAACCAAAGGTTGTTCTCTGTTTCTTGTTTCTAATGCAAGGTTTTTGAACAGCTCCTCCTCATGCGCGTCATTCAGTTGTTTCCTCAACTCCTGGATGGTTTTCCTTAGGTCATTTAGATGTTTGTACAGTTCCTCTACAAGCTTCTCTAATTCAGAAATCTTGACTTGCTGTTTGTGATTGGTTTGCTCCATTTCTAATTGCATGAGTTGTCCCTCTTCAATTTGACGCTTTAGTCTAATAACACTTAATGTTAGCTTGTTGTTCTCAACATTAAGAGATTGGGTTTTTTTTTGAAGTTCCTCGTTCACAATCTTTTCCTCATATACCTCTGCTGTACGATTCTCTATTATGCTGCTCAATTTACATATTTTATTGGTTCGCTGGAGAATTCGTTCATCCTTTTTGCTGATAGCTATGTGCTCTGCTTCTAAATTATCCTCTAACTCATCCAGCTCCATTTTTAAACGATGAATTGTCTTTTCTAAATGAACTATCTTTGTTTGTTGTTCATCGTGGAGTTCGCCCATGTTTCTGCTCTGCTCCATCAGACTTGTCTCCTCAAGTCCAAGAAATATTTGGCTTGTGTTCATGATTAGTTGTTTGTATTTGTCTTGCGCTTGTGAATGTGTTGTGTTGTCTTCTGGTTTAGAACCATGCATCAAAGGTTCATGTTTCAAACTGCTGCCCCCTACGACCAGTCTCTTGTCTTGACGTAACAACGCAACACTCATCCTGGGAATGATCCGGCTCTGACGTCATAGGAGTCAACTGTAACCTAGCAACTGTAACCTAGCAACTGTAACTTAGCAACGGTAACAAGGCGACATTCCCACACAAGGCCTTCAAGTCATGTCTAACATTCTAAGCTGAGTTCAGCTGAACTTTCAGACCTCTTTCCACTTGATTTTTACCATCAAATGATAATACATTTTCCCCTTGGTTCATGGCCATGTCTGCTGTGCTCCTTGTAATTTCTATAAGTACACTGTAAAAAATTTCCTTGTAGAAAAACAGTAAAATGCTGGCAAATATTGTTCCAGGAATTCACCGTTTTCTCAACATGGCATTACCGTTGCTAATTTTAACGTTTAAAGACTGTTTTACTGAATCACATTATGTATTTGTGATTTCAGGATTTAACTGTATGTTCCTGTTAATTCACATACAACAAAAACAGCATTATAATGTTCATTTTGTATTATTACACCATACGACTGTTTCTGTTTCAAAAACTGCACAGTTTAATTTGTTTTACTTTAATGAACACAACTGTTCAATTATGTTTTAACATCTTCAGTTTATACAAGAACATTGTTGAGATCTTTACTTCTATAACATGCTTAATGCAAAAGCATCATTCTAACTAAAGCAGGAAGTTAATGTGTAAGAGGCTTTGACAAAAAATTCCCAGCATTCCAAAAATGTTATGTTAAATTACGGTAATAATATTGTAACGTTTTTTGTAATCACATTATAATTGTGGTAATAAAACGCCACTGGATGTTTTTTAACCAATTTATACTTAAATTTGCATTTTTGAACTGTTTTTCAAAATAACATTTGTTTAATGTTGAAATTTCATTGTAATTTTACAGAAATTTGTTACAGTGAAGGAAAATAATTTAGTCTCTCAATGAAAGCTTCGAAAATCCATTAAAACTAAAATCCAGCCTTAAATTGCAGATGTGTTTCTGTTACATATTTACTTTTAACTTTGACACTTAGGGCCCTCACCTCTCACGTGTGACACCTGGGGCCCTCACCTCTCACGTGTGACACTTAGGGCCCTGACCTTTCACGTGGGACACTTAGGGCCCTCACCTCTCACATGTGACACCTGGGGCCCTCACCTCTCACATGTGACACTTAGGGCCCTCACCTCTCACATGTGACACTTAGGGCCCTCACCTCTCACATGTGACACTTAGGGCCCTCACCGCTTACGTGTGACACTTAGGGCCCTCACCTCTCACGTGTGACACTTAGGGCCCTCACCTCTCACGTGTGACACTTAGGGCCCTCACCTCTCACGTGTGACACCTGGGGCCCTCACCTTTCACGTGTGACACCTGGGGCCCTCACCTTTCACGTGTGACACTTAGGGCCCTCACCTCTCACGTGTGACACTTAGAGCCCTCACCTCTCACATGTGACACTTAGGGCCCTCACCGCTTACGTGTGACACTTAGGGCCCTCACCTCTCACGTGTGACACTTAGGGCCCTCACCTCTCACGTATGACACTTAGAGCCCTCACCTCTCACATGTGACACCTGGGGCCCTCACCTCTCACATGTGACACTTAGGGCCCTCACCGCTTACGTGTGACACTTAGGGCCCTCACCTCTCACGTGTGACACTTAGGGCCCTCACCTTTCACGTGGGACACTTAGGGCCCTCACCGCTTACATGTGACACTTAGGGCCCTCACCGCTTACGTGTGACACTTAGGGCCCTCACCTCTCACATGTGACACCTGGGGCCTTCACCTCTCACGTGTGACACTTAGGGCCCTCACCTCTCACGTGTGACACTTAGGGCCCTCACCTCTCACGTGTGACACCTGGGGCCCTCACCTTTCACGTGTGACACCTGGGGCCCTCACCTTTCACGTGTGACACCTGGGGCCCTCACCTCTCACGTGTGACACTTAGAGCCCTCACCTCTCACATGTGACACCTGGGGCCCTCACCTCTCACATGTGACACCTGGGGCCCTCACCTCTCACATGTGACACCAGGGCCGGAGTGGGACAACATTTCAGGCCGGGAGCTTTTCATCCATTCAGGCCAAACAAGGTTCTAAATTTGGGTTTTTGTCATTGTATTTTGATGTTCTTTTAATAGTTTTAAGATTGACTGTCAAAACTTTTGTTTTCTTTATTTTTTTTTATATTGACTGTTTATATAATCTCGGACGTTTAAGGATTGTTGTACGTTGCTTAGCAACGTAACGTTTATGGAGTTTAGTGAGAATAAAGACACACACACACACACAATGAACTAAGTGTTCATTAGTGTATAACTATAACAAGCTAATCAATTATTGTTAAAAAAGTAGTAAGGTAAAATCACATCGTTACAGCTCATATAAAAGGAAAAATAACAACGTGTATGAACCATCAGTTGGAGAGACCACTCATTTCAACCGGGGAAGCTACACTGGGTGCACTGCTAGGCTGGGGAAGCTACACTGGGTGCACTGCTAGGCTGGGGAAGCTACACTGGGTGCACTGCTAGGCTGGCCTGGCTGTGTAGCCGACGTGTGACGTCACATTTGTTTAATTTTGCTCTGGCCCAATGACAGTAAAGCTTTGGCCAGTGTTGTGCCAGTTCACAGCTTTTCTGAACTAGTTCAAGTTCAGTTCATACATGCTCAAAGTGAACAGTTCACGTTCGAAGTTCTCAATTTTAATTCTGAACTAGTTCAAAGTTCAGTTAATTTTACTTTTTGCGAGATATTCAAATAAATATTTTTTTTCACTACGAGCTAGAAATCACAATACGTGGTATAATATATATATATATATATATATATATATATATATATATATATATATATATATATATATTATATCCTGTACACTGCACAGGATGTTTTGACTCCAATGCAGACAAGATTTTACATGGGTTTCAATGGGAACTGAGTTGTCCCATCTCTGCTCATAAGTACAAACTGTAATGCGCTGCAGAACGTGTGTCTATACTTTATGTCAAATGTAAACGGCCCTGTGTCACTGACTTACCCCCGTGTTTTCATCACGGCACATGTGAGTCCAACAACCAATGAATAGCACTAGCATATAGCGCCGCACCGCAAGTACACTGAGTCGGGGTGCGTTCACAGACGGTGGAAACCGTAGGAATTTTTAGTTTTCGGCGGAAACACTGCGGAGAATACAGGAGGGAGGAACTTTCTCTCGTTGCGTTTCAAAAGAGAAAACAGATTTCACTCAGTTTTAAATGGAAAACAAATTGTCTGCCGTTCATGACACATAATATGAACTTATTCACGTTCAAGTTCTTTATTAAAAAATGTGTTGCGTTCAGTTCAACGTTCACGAAAAAATGAGCGTGTTCAATGAACGCGTTCTTTTGAACTCGTTCAAGCACAACACTGGCTTTGGCCTGGGCCTTGCTCATTGGACCAGGCCACCAGGCAGGGTAGGAGTTTGCAAAGACCGTGAGGATGAAATTAAATTAAAAAAAATAATAATAATAATAAAAAAAAAAAATAAAGACCGTGATGATAGGGCAGGCCCAGGCCACTTTGACACTGGCCATCGGGAGATCTCCCGATGGCCAGTCCGGGCCAGTGTGACACTTAGGGCCCTCACTGCTTACGTGTGACACTTAGGGCCCTCACCTCTCACGTGTGACACTTAGGGCCCTCACCTCTCACGTGTGACACTTAGAGCCCTCACCTCTCACATGTGACACCTGGGGCCCTCACCTCTCACATGTGACACTTAGGGCCCTCACCGCTTACGTGTGACACTTAGGGCCCTCACCTCTCATGTGTGACACTTAGGGCCCTCACCTCTCACGTGTGACACCTGGGGCCCTCACCTTTCACCTGTGACACTTAGGGCCCTCACGTGGGACACTTAGAGCCCTCACCTCTCACATGTGACACCTGGGGCCCTCACCTCTCACATGTGACACTTAGGGCCCTCACCGCTTACGTGTGACACTTAGGGCCCTCACCTCTCATGTGTGACACTTAGGGCCCTCACCTCTCACGTGTGACACTTAGGGCCCTCACCTCTCATGTGTGACACTTAGGGCCCTCACCTCTCATGTGTGACACTTAGGGCCCTCACCGCTCACGTGTGACACTTAGGGCCCTCACCTCCACTTTGAGTCGTGTCCGTAGCTCTTGTAGACCCTCTGTGTTGGAACCTACTGATGACACTGACCTCAGCTCAGGGGCCACTACAGTTTGAGAACCTCCTGTTTGAAGCCTCAGGGTTGTGGGTGCTGATGTTCTAGAAGTAGGTGTTATTTTGGTCTCATGATCAGAACGACTGTTTGAAAAACGATTCTAATTGAACAGAGAAATCTTTGTCGATTAGTGGATTAATAGTTTGGTCTTTCCCATCAAACAGCAAAACATACCAAACACAAAGAACTGTTGGACAGGTCCATTGAAACGTTACGCAAAGGACTCTTCACTATGTGTTTCTGCGGGTTTGTGAGTGTTCCTAAATTGTAACTGTGCTGCCATTGAGATTCATCTCAATGAGTCTTTTTCAGGTTAAAAAATATCAAAATAAAGGCATGGGTGTAATAATAAAAAGTTGAATGCAAATAAACCTTATTGTTTCAATTTATTTTTCAGAAAACCATCTCCCCTTCCAATCCTCTGAGAGTTCGATCTCTGAACCCTGCATTTATTGAGCAATTAAAGGTGAGTGCTGCAGTGACCTGAGGAACTGCTGGACACAAGGGGAAGTGTGTGAAGCCACACTGCCCCCTTGTGCTCATCCAGAACAGGTGCTTGTAGACTAAAGTTTGAGGACATTGAAAGGCCTGCTGCTATGGCCAGAACGGGCTCAGATTAACAAGCTAATGGGATCAGGAGCGAGCAGTGTTGAGCCGGGACAATCTTCTCTGTTAGCAGCACATAAAGGAGGCAGCCATGGGACAGAAGGGCTGCCGCTTGTCCCTCTTCCTGTTCTCCCCAGTGCAGGTAGGACTCAGGGATATGCCTTTTACCCCATTTAGAATGTTGCTCTTTTCAGAGGCATGTTCAGTGGTTTTTTGTTACTTAGTTCAGGGGAATTCAAGAGGGAGTAAAGTAGATTTCAAGGTGATAAGCAAACAATTCTTTGCATTGTGTATTGAGGTTTTGAGCACAGAGTCACCATGTTTTAGAATGAGTTCAGGATGTTTTAGAGTCTACTCCCGAAAAGGTTCATTGCTCAAATTCCGTCATTAAACGCTGATTTTTCTTTTGGGTCTTCATCTAGCTTTTATCAACAACAAAAAGTATTTAAGATTATGGTAAGCTATACTTCTTCAGCCACTGCTGACCAGGGCATGTTGGGCAACCTTTATTTAACCTGGATCCCGCTGAGATTTCTTAATCTCTTTTTTAGGGTTCTGCCCCAAGAGATGAGGAGCCTATTGTACATGTTTTTAGTGATTTTAGTGATAGGGGAAACTGGAGCATCTGGAGAATAGCTACATGGGGACAGTCAGTCAATTAATGTTTATTTGTAAAGCACAATTCATACACAAGTCAATCCAGTGCTTCATAAACATCTTTTTTTAATTCACAAAAGTAAAATGGTAAAAGTAAACTTTATAAGTGGACAGGGTGTTCCACAGGGCACCTCTCACAGAGGCTGTTTGGGCAAATGTGTTTTACATTATGTTTGGTACTGTTTTCAAGGTTTTGCTGTCCACATTTCTTTGACTGCCTCCCACCCTATATCCCTGATCATTTCCATATCCTTACTTGCGATTATCCAAAAAACTGACTCTAGCTCAGGGATGTATGGATTAAAAATATCACTTTGCATTGTTGAATACACATTCATTACCTTTTAGCAATGAGAAAATGCCAAAGCCCATTTGTGAAAGGGGTTCATGAGCTTCACATTCAGCTGGTTAGAACATGTTGTAGCTGTAGGTCAGTTGTTGGAGGTATGTTGTATTTGTTGTGGCTATTTCTGTATTTTATACTTTATACTGCAAGATAAAAACTTAACAAGGGTGTTCTTTCACAAATGTGCATTCTTGTCTAACTGTGAATGTGTAATGTTGTCTGTATATTTGTAATAACCTGAACAAAACTGAATAAGGTAAATATGATCTGTGCCGTAATGTAATAAAAAATACTCCCAAAACATAAATGAATGAAAAATAAAGTATTTCTTTCTTTGTAGGCCAACTTAGCCCTATCACCCACTGCTCTGAGTCCAGACGTGAAGCCCACCCCACTGTCCCCCAGCAGCCCCCAGAGCCCAGCCACCCTGCTGAGCCCACACAGCCCCAGCTGGAGGCCCCCCCAGCCCAGCGAGGAGGAGGAGTCTGTGGGCTTCGAGACGCCAGCTGAGGGCAGCACTCTGCCCAGTTTCAACAAGGTACTGCAAACGGCTGCTCATACTGGAACACAAGCACTAACAGCTTTTTCATCACTTTCAAAAGGCCGCCATGTTCTTTATGAAAGTGCATCTTTACAAATATGGATACGGTTTTTGCACAGACCAGGTCACATTTTGTTTATAAATTGTGAATAGAATAGTAGTATAGTGAATGTAGTTATGATCAGGTGTGTGTGTGTGTGTGTGTGTGTGTGTGTGTGTGTGCGTGTGTGTGCGTGTGCATGTGTGTGTGTGTGTGACTGTGTGATGATTCTGCGATGATGTCAGAGCTGCACACATGTTGCTGTGTGAAGCTGCTCTCCTCTGGACCTACTGGAGCTCCTCATAATCCCTTTAGCCCCGTTAAAGTCCCTGAGCAGCTTCCTGGACAAATCACTCACGCCAACAAGCTCAGGCAAAGAAGGTTTTCACCGACCTTAAGCCCCATTCACATGCAGTCCACACAAAAGCAAAAACACAGACAGTGCTTTGGAAATGGGCTTTTATTTCTCATCACAAAAAAGTGAATACAGATCACAATAGCAGACATTGTACAAAATAACAGATGCTGGTAACTACCTCCGCTCAGGACGTTAAGTTTCTGTTTGTCTGTGAGCAACATAACTCAAAAAGTTAAGGAAAGATTTGGACAAAACGACGTGTGAATGGCTTAGATCCTAATCATCGTCTGTTTATATTTTTGTCACAGTGGTCCCTCATTATCTCGGGGGTTACGTTCTACAAATATCAATCGCTAAGAGAAATATGTGAAGTAGCAGTTCTATTTTAAAGGTCTACAGTCCGTCCTAAGCACATGTGATAATCATTTGGGTGATACACAATACAGCACTCAACAATTATAGCCATTTCTTGCATAGAGGTGATGTCGCCTCAATTGAAACGGCTGGATCTGTGCTCCTTTGCCGGTGAATCAGCTGAGCAGAACCTTCAGCTTGAGGGAATCAATGGAAAAACTACTCTGGGCATGTGAAGGCCAATCAGCACTGTACAGAGTTGTAAAGCAGAGAGAAGTCAAAAAGCGTGGGATCTTTGGCTGTAACCCCTCACACTCACTTTATACACTTTTCTAACTACCTGAAATCACGACTGTTGAGTACAATCAAGGAAATATCAAACCTGTTGGTTGAAGTTCTGGTGCAAAAACCGTTTGAACACTGTAAAATACAGTAGGAGAGGACCCCACGCTGAGGCGCAGGAGCAGGACTGAGGGCGACGGGAAGACTGCAGCCGTCCTCTCAACTAATTATTCTGTACAAGCCACAAATGTTTTCTTCTGATTCAATTTTTTTCTTCTTCTGATTTAAAATAAAGGTTACTGTGGCTGTAAAAAGGCACACAAAATGACCCAAAACAAAACAACTGCTAGGCCGTGAAGTGAACAATTGCGAGGGACTACTGTAATTGAGAATTAATAACAAACAAGCAACAAAAACCTAAAATCAATATTGAAGCATGAAACATGCTGGACATACAACATGTGGTTTAAGGAATGGATGTGCCTCTAGGCAAAGGTGTATTTTAAGAATAAATTAATGCATGATCAAAAATGACTTTTTCTACCATTGATGGGAGTAAATTGGTCAGAAATAGGAAGAATGTTGAACCATGTCCTATAGTATACTGGGACAAATAAATAGTGTTGGATGAATCTACTGGGACTAGAGGTCTCCAAATTGGGCCAATATTCACCCCTCAGGTAAATTCAGAGAAAAAAATCAAATCAGCAATCACGCTGATAACATCTGCTGTGTACTTGAGATGGGAAATGGTCATCTTTAATGTTTGAGATTTGTCTAAAGACCGTCTTTCATGCGTTTCCCAATTCTCCCCAGACTCGAGCACGGCTGTCAATCAAGCGCCGCCCCCCCACCCGACTGCACCGAAGGTCAGCTGGAGAGGAACCCACGTCCCCCTCCTCCTTGCCCCCCTGCGAACTCACCGAGCCAAACCAGAACGGCCTGAGCGATCAAATCTTCCACAGCCCCACACAGGAGGTCCAGCAGGAGGTGCAGGAGATGGTCCAGATGGAGGTCCAGGAGGAGGTCCAGGAGGAGGTCCAGGAGGAGGTCCAGAAGGAGGTCCAGGAGGAGGTTCAGGAGGATGTCCCGGAGCAGGTCCAGGAGATGGACCGGGACTGCGACACGATAAGGGAGGAGGTCACCAAGAGTCACATGGAGGAAGAGGAGCAGCAGAACTCCTCGCCTCCTGCTGCTGAAGCCCAGGAGAGAGAGGAGAACTGTGAGGAGGCGTCTGGACAAGCGGACGACAACTCGGATGAAGCAATGTGAACTGTGAAAATGCTTCCTTTGTGCTTTTAAAGACACCACCACGTCTGTACACACAACATGAGGTCAGGTCAGATACCAGGGAAAAACCCGTACCATACCGATACCATGTACAACAGTCTTTAGCAGAACAGAGATGTCCAACATTTGACTGACTTTAGGCAGAGCACTCACCCAGCTGCTTCAGTCTGACGGCAGTATCTGGTTTTACAATATTTGTTTGTACCTTATACCAGAATGGCAGCTTTTCTCTAAACCAGAACACATCCAACTGAACCAAATATGCTTTATGATTACATGATTGGGGCTGGGCACTGTTGAGACGGTGCAGAACAGGAGAGGGCGACCGGTACTGATACAGAGGGGAGAGCGTGGTCCCACAAACTGCCACTGATCACAATGTGTGGACTCCACATGTGGACCACTACTGTTGTTATTATTATTAAAGTTAGCTGGGCTACTGCTTCTCACTGGAGTATGTGCCTGATTTCTATTCCACAGACAAAACATAAACTACAGAAACATGACCCAGTAGTCAGAGAAACCGACCTACAGGTGTATTCAAAAGGTATAAAGCACTATATAAATTATCTTTTTTGTTAACAGTGTAGCGACACATAATGAAAACAGTTTTTCCCCAATAGAATGTAATGGCATATAGCAATATGATAGAACCTACATATGATTCAAAATAATCATTGGTATTGTAAATATACTGCTTTATCATGTATATTGCAATATAAACGTCCTGAGCTTTAACCCCTGGGCTATCCCCAGGTCAAAATGACCCCCACAGTGATTACAAATGGAAGAAAATGTCCTAAATAAAGGTCTAAAAGAGTCTAAAAGAACTTGGGCCGGTCAAGGAAAAATCATGAAAATTCAGCTTGAAAAAGATGTATATTTTGGGTATTTTTGAATCACTGTGGCGGGTCATTTTGACCCGAGCAAAGCACAAGAGCTTCATGTAAAGCTGTTTCTCTTATGCTAAAGATTGAAGCGCACACAAACAAATGACAAAGAATGTTACAGTTCACTCCACAAACTCTAAAAGTGGGTTCAGAAACAGAAGAAGGTTTGTTTTGATTCTTCCATGTGTTTATTTGAACAGGTCGACAAACACTGGCAGTTTTCAATCATGCAGCTGCTCCTTCCACAGTTTTTTACTTTATCATACTCAGTGCTTCTCAAACTGGGAACTGGAAACTTTTCACTTTTACCAATTATTTGGTACAAAGTAATACAGATCATTAAATGACATCAGAAAAAACACAATACGTGACTAACGGCGTTATGTTATAGTTTTACTTTTCAGATTATTGTTTTCTTTAATTCAGCCATTCAGCAAGTTAGTGTCACACATTTCTCTGGGTTTCCGGACTTAAAAGTTTGACAACCCCTGCTCCATATGAAGACATGCTTTTATACTAAAGATTATTGCCATGATTGGCATTGTCTATAAATGTTCATCCTGAATCTTCTTCCTATGGCTCTAGACGGTGTGAACTTTGCATTCCTAGCTTACTGGAGAAAAGTTTTGTTTTCCATTGGATAAGCTTTTCTGGTGTTTTGTGTATTCTGCAACATGTTTATACCTCTGCACTGGGGGGACTTAGGTCCTCGAAATTATGCAAATGTTTAAAGTTGTAAATAAGACAATGGGTGCAGAGAGGGGAGATAAGGTTGTGAATGCTGAATGTTGGTGACCATGTTTCATGGAGATGGAATTTAATGTTTCAATGAACGAGTGGCGTACTATTGTCGACCTCTGCTGGCCTTTTGAAGTATGACAACGTGACACCAAAATGTTTTATTACCTGTAAACAAAACAAAGATATATTATTATTTCACGCAGATTGTTTGCAGCTGTTTATCTTTTCTTACACACAACAACACATGCTACAGGCGGAGTGCGTGTCGAACATCAGACTAATCATGGGTCTCATTCAAAGCGGAACGGGTTTGTATGATTTGCATTATTATTTTGCATTTTCCCCTGATTTAATTTTACACATCACTTACACATAACAGTTTGTTGAAAAAAAGGACATTCCACTAAGGATTTTCACCCAAAAACATGAACAATAAAAAAATACCCTTTTTCCAAACACAATGATTCACGCTGAGGGACGTACAGCGTGAGTTATTATAAGTAAGTCATCTTTATTTATATACCGCCTTTCACAGACCAGAGTCACAAAGCGGTTTACAATTGTCATTAATTATGAAACTAACAAGATTTGTGCTACTAGTTCCTTGCTTTAAAACAGTTCTATCACTAGGACCACCCTCACTCAGCGTTAAATAGGGACTTGCAGGGCGCATATGTTTTACAATAATATATCCACAGCAATGACATACACATCTACAAGTCTCTCTGTTGGGACAAACATGCATTATTTATGAAGTAATAACTGCTTGAAACATTTTACTTTTATTGGTTAATATTTTATTATTTACGCTATTGTATATTTAGCAGCTGAGGAAACGGTAATCCAAACAATAAACGACTAAAAATGGTTGTAAAACGTAAATGCATCAAGCTGCCCTGAAGATAACCATTTATTGCTCAATGGCCTTAAGTCAACATGGGATCAGTCCGTACCACAAACGGCAAAAGAGGAATCGGATCCAACCACAGTGTGTGATATCACCTCACACTTAAGCGCAGTCCAGTGATCCCCCTTCACGCACTATGAACGTCACGAGTAGACGCTCTGGTGTCTGTCGGCCTGATACGCGCCTGCCCTGCGGTCCGATGGGTCGGATATGACTCCCCACGGAATACCTCCAGACAACGCCTTCTTCCTGCGTCAGCTTGCCCCGTCCCGAAACTACAAGAAAACTCACCTGGCCACTTCAGGAAACTATTTGAAACTCCGCCGCGTCAGGGGAAAAGCTGACAATACATGCAACATCTCACAATTCAAGAGTTCCCTCCAGACCTGGCAATGGAATGAGCGTTTGAAGTTTACGCGTCTTGGATAGTGGCGTCTCCAAAGTGGCAGATATTTTACGTTAGTGCTTTAACGCGCAGAAAGTTCCGGGTTCAAACTCTACACTCGTCGGGCTGGGGTCACTTGTAAACATGGAGAGACAGACTGATAATGTCCATATTGAAATGCTACCTGTCACTAATGGAAACGACGCAACAGCGCACGCAAACGGACAGGTGAGAGCCACATGACCCCCGTGCGTAAAGTACAACGTTTATTATGTTTTCTTTTCTCCACATGTCCCAGGATTCTGTTGATGGAGCTGCGGCAAGAAATGTCGGGGAAATGGATAGTTTGTTACAGGTATGAGCACTGTAAACCCTAACTTCAATCCTACTTCAGATATCAAAGTTATTTTAAATAGATTTTTCCCAGTAAGTAGATATTACTCATTTATTGTTAGTTTATTTAAAGCTTGCCTATGTCACTCAGGGTTTTCTTTGAATTGAACTGTCTCAACATAACATAACATAACATAGAAATTTTAACTTTATTGCAATCACTTGAGTTACTTGGTAATATCAAGTAAAGGATGTACTCGAGGAATTCAAGTGAAGTTAATACGCAATTTATTTCCATGGTTTTTTCAAGTAAACCCTACTTGTCAGGGTTTACAGTGATGATGGACTGTGTTTATCCTGTTTGTTTAAAGTCTCACGTCTTGTTATTTACTTTGTAGGGTTCTGGCAGCGCGAATGGAAACGCTGTGGTGAGCAATGGTGAGCCCGACATTGAAGCTCCCAAAGTCCCAGACAAGAAAAAGGTTTGACATATTACTATCATTTATTAACCTTGCAACGTGGTTTTCTATTCACTTTGCAGGGCTTTTTACCTCCTCACCTTATAATGATAATGAAGACATGCAAAAGTCTGAGGTCTTTAAAGTAATCTAAAGTATTTATGGTGCATTCCTCAGCTGCCCCTGTGGCATGTTGTTTTACAATACAAGAAGCAGGTATTGAACCACTGGGCTGGTGAGGAATGTAGGCAAGTTTAATGATTAATCACAACTAATCGATTATCAAACTGTTCATAAATAATAATAATACATCTCTATTTATATAGCACTTTTCAAAAACAATGTTTACAAAGCGCTGCACGTCAGTATAATAAACAATAAATCAGTCATAATACAAAGTAGTAGTAGTAGTAGTAGTAGTAATCTTTATTTATATACCGCCTTTTCACTGCAGATCTGAGTCTCAAAGCGGTTTACAATTGTTATTTTTTGGGCATTTGTCTCTCACTCCACACAGAGATGGGAGCGGGGTCGCCGAACAGGAGGCGCATGCCAATCCTATTGTACATATTTTTAGTGGTAGGGGAAACCGGAGTACCCGGAGGAAACCTACGCAGACACGGGGAGAACATGCAAACTCCACTCAGAAAGGCCCTGGTCCGGCCGGGATTCGAACCCAGGACCTTCTTGCTGAGAGGCGAGAGTGCTATCCACTCAGCCACCGTGCCGCCCACGGTGGCTGTAGTAAAAACAATAAGATAGAATACAAGTTTTAATAAGTGATTTAAAAGAGGATACTGATGGAGCCTTATCTCCTCGGGCAGGTCATTCCAAAGCCGAGGAGCCCGGACAGAGAAGGCTCGGTCACCTTTCGTCCGGAGCCTCGACCTTGGAACAGTCACAGGGACCTGCCCGAGGATCTAAGGCTGCGGGGGAAGGGCTCGTAGGGGGTTAAAAGTTCAGAAATATAGCTTGGTGCCAGACCTAAACGAGCTTTAAAAGTAATCAGTAAAATCTTAAAATCAATTCTAAAACGCACAGGGAGCCAGTGGAGGGACGCTAACCCAGGGGTGATGTGCTCCCTTCTGTTAAAACCAGTGAGAAGTCTGGCTGCTGTGTCTGGACCAGTTGGAGGCGGGAGAGGGATTTAGACTAAAGAATCTGTAACAAGTCATTTCTATGGGGAAGTTCTGTGCATTGTTTTTGTCAATAGTTGAAAAAATCCCATATTTTAAAGGATCTCGGAATCTCTCTATTCTCTTACTTCCCAAGATTAATTGAAACGGTAATCGGCCAGGTAATCTAGTATCAAAATAAACAGCTACAGCCCTATAGAATTCATCTGCAAACTGTTGGATGTACTTCAGCAAAAAAACATTTTGGTGAATGTCCATTTGAGAACACAACATGTAGAAGTTGTTGAAACTGTTGAAACACTGGACACTGGTTTTATGTTGTGTTTATGTCTGCAAAGGTCTTTGGAAAAACCACCATTGTTAAACATGAAAAGTAAAAAGTGTAGATTTTTTAAGTTGTTTTAAAAATTTAGAATACAATCTTAAGTACTCACAAGTACTTTCTTGTCGCCTCTGCTTATGCAACCATTATAATCTTATTTACTCAGGCAAAGACATGTGTCAACAATGCATTTGGCTGAGTTTCATTTATTAGAGGAAAATACAGCGAACTTTTCCTGCCACTGTCGCAACCATTCAAAAGTTTTCATTGTCAATAAGATTTTCATGTCAAACCATCACTACATGGCCCTAATCTGTCATAAGACATTAATAAACCATGGTCTTTATAAATACTTTTCAGCCCCTAAATCTTGTTATTTTTTAATTTCCCCCGTTTAATCAATCAGAAAGCCTGTGATCCGGGCGCCAGAACTCACTGCGTCACTGGTAAAGTACCATGTGGCGCAGAACTAAAAAAGGTCTCGTTATGATTCTCAAATCATTAACGACAAAACAAGGAATAAAACCAGGATTTCTATCTTTGTGAAAAAGGTGTTGGTTATAGATTTGTTGTTGACAAAACTCTTGTCTATTCAGCTGTTATGGTCCCAGCTGGATTCGTCTGCATATCTGGCAACCTGAGTCAGGGAGAGTGGCAGAGGCTGCAGTACCACTTTGGGCCACATGTTTACAGACTGCTCCTTGAATTCAATATAAAAACAGTAGACGGTCACGGAACTTTTTTTTATTTTATTTTTTATTTTTTTATTATATATTTAAACATAATACAAACAAAATAGATGCCACAAAATACAGATAACAATCATGATATACAAATACAAAAAAGACAAACTAAAAAATAAAACAAAAACCAGGGCATACACTTAGACGTTTGTTGTCATCTGTAAATGTAAAGGGCATGTGTCAATAAATGATAAAAGTTTAGTAGCATTCTTAGATTTTATGAGATTGAGTGAAGTATAGAATAGTTTGAACTCATTCCTCCAATGAATGTAGTTCGGGATGGTTTTAAAAAAACGGCACTTGTGAATGTAATGTTTAGCTAACAATATAAGATTATTAACACCATATTCAGTTAAACTATTAGTAGAGGAAATACCAAACATTACATCATGAATAACTAAACTTGGCAGTAAAATTCCTTCGATCCGTATCCCTTGTTGAAAGTCAAACCAGAATAACTGGACAGATTCACAAGAGAAAAATAAATGATCTAAATCTTCTGTCACCGTCTGACAGAATCCACATTTGTCCACATCCAATTTAAATTTACACTTCAGGAATTTGTTAGTTGGATAAATCCTATTTATAATTTTGAATTGAATCTCTTTACTCTTGAAAGGGAGAGGATATTTTAAATAATTGCATCTGATTTTTTTGATTTGTTCCTTTTGATAATTTTTGAGAATATAATCTCGTTTGAGAGAATTAGTAACCAAGTTATTGAATAGGCAGGATCGAAGGAATTTGTTGTTACATTTAACGTCAGTAAATTCGATACCATCGATGAATAGTCTCCTCATGTTCGGGACAACATTGGAATGAATGAGGTCTTGTTTAACCATATTACAGAGCGATTGCGGAAGAGCTTTAAGAATTTGTTTATATTTCCTTAGTGTACATTGGATCTGAAACTAATTGCAGAATTCACCATGTTGTAGTAAATTGCCTTCTTCATCCATGGTCACGGAACTAATAACAAGTTATAGAAGTTGAGCCTTTTAAAGTGGTTTCCTATTGCAAAAAGATTAAGTTTAGGAGATCCTTTCTTCATCCCGCAGGGGGACATTTCAGACACGTGTCAACCCTGCACGGACATAGTTTTAATTATCCACCAAAACCCATGAAACTTGACTAAATGTTGAGTTTTAAATAGTGTGATGTGTTTTGTGTTATTTCTAGAACAGTGCCGTGCTTCAGATCAAAAAGGAGCTGAGGGAAAAGGTCTGCAAAGTCGTTCCAATGTGGCTCATCCTCGTCCTCATCTTCCTCGTCGTCATCCTCATTATTTTCATATCGCTGGCCTTGTGCAGAGGTAACTGTTGCTTTTATTATCAAATGTGTGTGTTTATTAAGTTAAAATGCCAAATGCCACACAGAAGAGCGGCGCTTCAGTCCCATTTCTGATACATTGTTGTCTAAATATACACCGATTGTCAGAATTGCATATTCCTGTGCTCTGTCTGATATTAAAGCTGGGGTACCTAACTTTGAAAGCACAAAAATGGAAATATGGATTAAAATTCGTATAATTAGTTTCGCCATCTTAAAACAGTTTGGTGCATGTATGTTTTAACCCCATCTTTAGATCAGACTTTTCAGACAAAAGTAAAAAAGAGAGGACCACCTTCACTTCAGCTCCAGCCCAAAGAGTCAAATAGTGACTTACAAAGCGAGATGTTTGATTAATGAACACATGGATTTTTTTTACATATTCCAATATTTCTGTTTGAAAATGATGTACCACAGCTCAATGATAAATCACACTTATTTATCTTAAAACTGAAATCCAAATCCTCTTTATTTACTGTATATAGCACATTTTTAGTTTTTGGTTTTCTTTATTAAAAAATAATAATAAACTGACTTCACTGGTGTAAACAATAACACCAGAAAAATCAATGAAATAATAGGGTTTTTTAATTAGTAAAAAATATTATAAAAATCAAGAATAAGTCAATTCAATGTATTTTTGTAGTTTAGCTCTAACTCATAACTGCAGCCGTCTCGGGGGACTTTACAAAGTTGTGGATTCACCAACAACAGCTGACGGAGCCAACCTCCTGTGCACCCACCACAGGAGGATCAAGGAGGGGCTGGTGCTCTGACATTAAAATCACATGAGGGATTAAAACAACAACAGATTTGTTCCAGACTTTAGAAATCTGAAACGCTGCCTCTCCATGTTTAGTTCTGACTCTGGGCACCAGCAGGAGGCCTGTCCCTGTGCTCCTCAGAGTCCCGTCCCTGTGCTCCTCAGAGTCCCGTCCCTGTGCTCCTCAGAGTCCCGTCCCTGTGCTCCTCAGAGTCCCGTCCCTGTCCTCCTCAGAGTCCCGTCCCTGTGCTCCTCAGAGTCCCGTCCCTGTGCTCCTCAGAGTCCCGTCCCTGTGCTCCTCAGAGTCCCGTCCCTGTGCTCCTCAGAGTCCCGTCCCTGTGCTCCTCAGAGTCCCGTCCCTGTCCTCCTCAGAGTCCCGTCCCTGTGCTCCTCAGAGTCCCGTCCCTGTCCTCCTCAGAGTCCCGTCCCTGTCCTCCTCAGAGTCCCGTCCCTGTGCTCCTCAGAGTCCCGTCCCTGTCCTCCTCAGAGTCCCGTCCCTGTGCTCCTCAGAGTCCCGTCCCTGTGCTCCTCAGAGTCCCGTCCCTGTGCTCCTCAGAGTCCCGTCCCTGTGCTCCTCAGAGTCCCGTCCCTGTGCTCCTCAGAGTCCAGTCCCTGTGCTCCTCAGAGTCCAGTCCCTGTGCTCCTCAGAGTCCAGTCCCTGTGCTCCTCAGAGTCCCGTCCCTGTGCTCCTCAGAGTCCAGTCCCTGTGCTCCTCAGAGTCCAGTCCCTGTGCTCCTCAGAGTCCAGTCCCTGTGCTCCTCAGAGTCCCGTCCCTGTGCTCCTCAGAGTCCCGTCCCTGTGCTCCTCAGAGTCCCGTCCCTGTCCTCCTCAGAGTCCCGTCCCTGTGCTCCTCAGAGTCCCGTCCCTGTGCTCCTCAGAGTCCCGTCCCTGTGCTCCTCAGAGTCCCGTCCCTGTGCTCCTCAGAGTCCCGTCCCTGTGCTCCTCAGAGTCCCGTCCCTGTGCTCCTCAGAGTCCCGTCCCTGTGCTCCTCAGAGTCCCAGCAGGAGGCCAGTCCCTGTGCTCCTCAGAGTCCCAGCAGGAGTCCAGTCCCTGTGCTCCTCAGAGTCCCAGCAGGAGTCCAGTCCCTGTGCTCCTCAGAGTCCCAGCAGGAGTCCAGTCCCTGTGCTCCTCAGAGTCCCAGCAGGAGTCCAGTCCCTGTGCTCCTCAGAGTCCCAGCAGGAGTCCAGTCCCTGTGCTCCTCAGAGTCCCAGTAGGAGTCCAGTCCCTGTGCTCCTCAGAGTCCCAGCAGGAGGCCAGTCCCTGTGCTCCTCAGAGTCCCAGCAGGAGTCCAGTCCCTGTGCTCCTCAGAGTCCCAGTAGGAGTCCAGTCCCTGTGCTCCTCAGAGTCCCAGCAGGAGGCCAGTCCCTGTGCTCCTCAGAGTCCCAGCAGGAGTCCAGTCCCTGTGCTCCTCAGAGTCCCAGCAGGAGTCCAGTCCCTGTGCTCCTCAGAGTCCCAGCAGGAGTCCAGTCCCTGTGCTCCTCAGAGTCCCAGCAGGAGGCCAGTCCCTGTGCTCCTCAGAGTCCCAGCAGGAGGCCAGTCCCTGTGCTCCTCAGAGTCCCAGCAGGAGGCCAGTCCCTGTGCTCCTCAGAGTCCCAGCAGGAGTCCAGTCCCTGTGCTCCTCAGAGTCCCAGCAGGAGGCCAGTCCCTGTGCTCCTCAGAGTCCCAGCAGGAGTCCAGTCCCTGTGCTCCTCAGAGTCCCAGCAGGAGGCCAGTCCCTGTGCTCCTCAGACTCCGGGCTGGTTCATATGGGACTAACATGTCACTAATATATTTTGGTGCGAGGCCATGGAGAGACTTGTAACAAGCAGAGCTGTTTTAAAGTCTATTCTCTGAGCCACAGGAAGCCAGTGCAGAGACCTGAGGACTGGACTAATATGGTCGTACTTCCTGGTTCTAGTCAGGACTAATGTGGTCGTACTTCCTGGTTCTAGTCAGGACTAATGTGGTCGTACTTCCTGGTTCTAGTCAGGACTAATGTGGTCGTACTTCCTGGTTCTAGTCAGGACTAATGTGGTCGTACTTCCTGGTTCTAGTCAGGACTAATGTGGTCGTACTTCCTGGTTCTAGTCAGGACTAATATGGTCGTACATCCTGGTTCTAGTCAGGACTAATGTGGTCGTACTTCCTGGTCCTAGTCAGGACTAATGTGGTCGTACTTCCTGGTTCTAGTCAGGACTAATGTGGTCGTACTTCCTGGTTCTAGTCAGGACTAATGTGGTCGTACTTCCTGGTCCTAGTCAGGACTAATGTGGTCGTACTTCCTGGTTCTAGTCAGGACTAATGTGGTCGTACTTCCTGGTTCTAGTCAGGACTAATATGGTCGTACATCCTGGTTCTAGTCAGGACTAATGTGGTCGTACTTCCTGGTTCTGGTCAGGACTAATGTGGTCGTACTTCCTGGTTCTGGTCAGGACTAATGTGGTCGTACTTCCTGGTTCTAGTCAGGACTAATGTGGTCGTACTTCCTGGTTCTAGTCAGGACTAATGTGGTCGTACTTCCTGGTTCTAGTCAGGACTAATGTGGTCGTACTTCCTGGTTCTAGTCAGGACTAATGTGGTCGTACTTCCTGGTTCTAGTCAGGACTAATGTGGTCGTACATCCTGGTTCTAGTCAGGACTAATGTGGTCGTACTTCCTGGTTCTAGTCAGGACTAATGTGGTCGTACTTCCTGGTCCTAGTCAGGACTAATGTGGTCGTACTTCCTGGTTCTAGTCTGGACTAATGTGGTCGTACTTCCTGGTTCTAGTCAGGACTAATGTGGTCGTACTTCCTGGTTCTAGTCAGGACTAATGTGGTCGTACTTCCTGGTTCTAGTCAGGACTAATGTGGTCGTACTTCCTGGTTCTAGTCAGGACTAATGTGGTCGTACTTCCTGGTTCTAGTCAGGACTAATGTGGTCGTACTTCCTGGTTCTAGTCAGGACTAATGTGGTCGTACTTCCTGGTTCTAGTCAGGACTAATGTGGTCGTACTTCCTGGTTCTGGTCAGGACTAATGTGGTCGTATTTCCTGGTTCTAGTCAGGACTAATGTGGTCGTACTTCCTGGTTCTAGTCAGGACTAATGTGGTCGTACTTCCTGGTTCTAGTCAGGACTAATGTGGTCGTACATCCTGGTTCTAGTCAGGACTAATGTGGTCGTACTTCCTGGTTCTGGTCAGGACTAATGTGGTCGTACTTCCTGGTTCTAGTCAGGACTAATGTGGTCGTACTTCCTGGTTCTAGTCAGGACTAATGTGGTCGTACTTCCTGGTTCTAGTCAGGACTAATGTGGTCGTACTTCCTGGTTCTAGTCAGGACTAATATGGTCGTACATCCTGGTTCTAGTCAGGACTAATGTGGTCGTACTTCCTGGTTCTGGTCAGGACTAATGTGGTCGTACTTCCTGGTTCTAGTCAGGACTAATGTGGTCGTACTTCCTGGTTCTAGTCAGGACTAATGTGGTCGTACATCCTGGTTCTAGTCAGGACTAATGTGGTCGTACTTCCTGGTTCTAGTCAGGACTAATGTGGTCGTACTTCCTGGTTCTAGTCAGGACTAATGTGGTCGTACTTCCTGGTTCTAGTCAGGACTAATGTGGTCGTACTTCCTGGTTCTAGTCAGGACTAATGTGGTCGTACTTCCTGGTTCTAGTCAGGACTAATGTGGTCGTACTTCCTGGTTCTAGTCAGGACTAATGTGGTCGTACTTCCTGGTTCTAGTCAGGACTAATGTGGTCGTACTTCCTGGTTCTAGTCAGGACTAATGTGGTCGTACTTCCTGGTTCTAGTCAGGACTAATGCGGTCGTACTTCCTGGTTCTAGTCAGGACTAATGTGGTCAAACTTCCTGGTTCTAGTCAGGACTAATGTGGTCGTACTTCCTGGTTCTTGTCAGGACTCGAGCTGCTGCATTTTGAATGTACTGCAGCTGTTTTACAGCCTGTTTGGACAGACCTGTGAGCAGGCCATTGCAGTAGTCTAACCTACTGGAGACAAATGCATGGGCACTTCACACTGAGGTTTCACTTGAAGAAGTTAAAATATGACTTTGTTTTCACATCAGTGATTTACGAAGACCCAGATGAGCGCTACGATCCCACGCAGTTTGATGCACTCAGAAATGTCAGCGGGAGTTTCCGGCTTCCCAACTTGAATTCCACAGAAGAGCTGCTCAACATGACGACCAGCATGAGCCGAGCACTGGCTGCAGAGCTGGAGAGCAAGGTTTCAAACTAATGAACATATTTATTCATTTGACAGGGACATTACACAATTAGTTATTTTGTTAGTTAGATTTCTTTAAAAACCTGTATTACACAATTTCCCAGATCTTCACACTGATACAGGTTTGAAAAGGGGTCAGATGAAGCAGACGCTTATTTTATCCCAACAATAAATGTATACCAGCAAAGAATAATAAATACAAACCCGTTTTGTGAAAAACATCAAACACTGCATGTTCTCTTTGTAGTTCTCCAAACATGAGTGCTTTTGTTCTTGTGCCCGTCCCACAGCTGGATGAGGTGTACACAAACTCCTCCGCCCTGGGACGCTACTTCATGAGGAGTCACATATACCAGTTCAGGTAAACACAGCAGCAGCTTCCCAGAATCCTCCTCGGTGTGTTCACATGTGTCTCTGGGTGTGAGCTTTTCATTACAGCGTGTTATTAATAATAAAATCTTCGATTCTCTCAGTAAAAAGTGACACATTTCCTGTTGCGCAAACTAAAGGCTTAAGACTAAAGGCAAAAATGCCTTGTCTTAAAAAGAAAATTACAAAATATGTTCCATAGAATGAGAAATAAATTGCAAAAGCACTTGAAATAAGACTAAACGGCTTGTTCCATCGGCAAATCTTGTTTTAAAACACTCAGAATATATTCAAATTAAGATTAAACCCCTTTATTCTAGCATTTATTACCTTATATTTTGGATTTTTTGCAGTGTGTTTAAATAATCGTGCACCAGTCGATTACTAGAACACCAAACTGACTCCTCCCCTCTCTCCTCAGCTCCGTCCCGGTCCAGGCCTGGTTCCTCCTCCTGTTCCGGATGCGTGAGGAGGAGGGCGGTCAGCTGTCCCGCTACACTCTGAGCAGAGAGCTCCTGTACAACGTGCTCCGGCAGTTCTTATACGAGCAGGAGGTGGGCCCGTCCCATCACATGTACATACTGCCCTCCTCTCTCAACATGAGTGCACTGTCAGACTGAGGCAGCAGGCTCCGGATCTAACCTGGCAAGAGCCAGATTGATGATTGTGTAGAACTCTAATGCGTTCTCCGCGATATCAATCTGGAACTTCTGCAGGAGAATCCTTTCGGGGAAAGGAGGGATAAGCAGCAGAATACTTCAAGCTGATTGGACGAAGTGACGTTGTGTGCCCGCCTACCAAGGTTTGACTTAAACCAATCCCGGTAACATCTTTGCCGTCATCTCTTGCCAAAACCCGTAGGTAAAAATGCACAAACATCTTTGCCGTCCAGAAATGCACAAAGCGCCTCTCGCTGTTCATCTTTCAAAAAAGAAGTTGGAGATTCTGCTAAAACTGACTTGATGCCTCAGCTACGCGTCCGTCCTCCTGCGTAGCCATGTTTGTTTTGATTCGGCCCGGCACTTCTTACTTTCGTCAAACCCGGATATCCCGCCCTAAACCCCCAGACTGGCGCGTGATTGGCTTGAACACCTAGATGTTCGACTCGAAAAAGGTTGGCGGGAGCGGGGCAAGATGTATTCTCGAGAATTCAGCTTGCAGGCAAGGTTACTCCGGATGTCCCCAAATGTGAATGTGTGCAGAGGAGAGGCTCATGGCACTGTTTTAGCTTGTGTTTCTCTGAGCTGTCGTGTTGTTGCCATAATACAACTGTGTACTCAGCTTTATGCACGACTCGGTTCTATAAGCTGAGATTGGGAAAGTGATAGTACTTTTTATGTTACAACGAGAGAAGTTCTAGTAAATCACTCACACAATATCCAATAATGCACTGCTTTTGACATTTTCCTTAGTAATGAGACGCTAATGATTGTTTCGATTTGTTATAGATTTAGAACCACCTGATCCCCAATCCTACTGTGCTGTTATCAACTTCATGTAGATGGAATATGCTTTTTTCCATTGTGTTGGGTTTGGATGAGGATTTTCTTTTTTAAGGAAACGCAAATGATTTTTACCACTGCTGGGCCATGAACCAAGTCTAGACGTAGATGTTACAACATGGGCTCCACACAAAGTCAGTTATTGTTTGTGTTAGAAAAGGACATGGATGGTGTTGTGTTGTAGGAGGGAGTGGAGTGAATGACATGTGACAGATAGAGACACACACACACACACGCACACACACGCACACACTGTTTGTCTTGTGGGACCGTCCTGTCCCAGACCTCAGGCAGTTCCAGAGTCACTGCTGTGAAGCACAAGATTGAACAGGTTTCCACCAGAACCTGTGTGTTCAGCTTTGGAAAGTAAGTATTATAATAAGGGTTTGATCTTGTGAATAAAATAATGAATAGGAACAAAGTATTATATTCATAGATAGACAAAGATGGTATTATAATCAATGAATCCATCTGAACAGCACATGTAAACATTGGTGAGTGTGGAGGGAAGTGCCTTAATATCTGTGAAATTGTATTTTTTATGCTTATATATATATAGTTATATATATATATATATATATATATATATATATATAGTATGCTTTATGTTGTTTTTTTTTTTGTAAATGTGAATATCTTCATGGCAGGATGAATTGTTACAACTGTGCTCCAGTTGATTCGAGACAGATGTAAAATAATCTACCAGATCTATTGTGCCAAATAATTGTTAAAATGTGTCACTTGTTTTGAATATATATATTTTTACATAAAGCCTGTTCTGTTAAACATCTGTTGAGTTTGTTCCTCCCACCAGAGGGCGCAGTCGCTGCAGTTCACCAGCAATAGGCTGCATGACGTCACACTGCACTGACGTCAGTGGGAAACGCCGTCAGTCGCAGGAGTCACAGAAGCTTCATCACAGTTTATGGTCATCCTCAAAAACACTGTTATATGTAACAATGCTTATATTCACAGAGATAACGCACACACAGACATGTGAGGCCAGCCGCGTATAGTGGGCATATCGTGCCAGCCAATCAGAATGAGCCTGTCAGCCACGTGCCTTTGTGATGAAGTCCAACCAATCAAAATGCAGGGATATTTACAGACGCGAGTTCGAAACCCGTCTCACCCCAAATAAATCAAACTTATTTTAAAGTTTAAAGTTAATAACTGGGTCTCATTTTGACCTTAATAACAGCCATATTACCTTTAAAGTACATAAATGTAACTATTAGAGAGCTTCTTTGAAATGTAACACTTGAAATGATCAGTGAATTGACAGTAATATTAACAGCAATGTCATGAAACCTTTTGACCTGCACAAAGTGTGAGTGTGTGAAGATCACAGAGGCTTATCCCCAAAGGCCTCACACACAGGTTAAAGGTCACACCTCCTCAGGATGGGAAAAGTGTTGATCAAGGGATTTAGACAAACACACCTGGAATATCCCAGAGGTGAGAACTCTGCAGGGGGTGCTTTGAACAAGTTCAACAATAGCTGCTTTGATCACACTGACACTGAACTGAAACTCTATTTTCTATACAGATTGTTTTGTTAAATACTACTGTTGTTTGCCCTGAAATATGATCAATAAAAAGAAAGACTTCAATAATGTATGACATTATAATATATTTATTGTGAACAGATGAAAAAATAGATATTTACAAATTTAAGAAATACACTTAGAAGAAAAACAACAACATGCTATCTTTATCTTCTTAAACTAGTATTTGTGTGATGAGCCCTGTGACTGTGGCGGCTGAGAGCTGACTATACAGAACTGTAGATGCAGACTTTACAAATGAAATGATATAATTAGATATAATCAACATTAAGTATATATTTACATAATAATTAGAATATTTATGAACAGACAGGTATAATATAGTAACTATATACAACAGCACCAATGGACAGCAGATAGCTCATTTATTTACACGCTTCCCTCTCCCGGTCATAAAAAGGAGACTGCTGGAACATCTGCGTCTCCATCCCCTGGTCCTTGTACAGGGAGAATACTTTGGCAGGGCAGTAGATGTATTTTCCTGACAGACCAGGGAACTGTGTATGAATGTGAGGACTGTTTGGTCCCTGCTTCAGCTGCAGTTGGCAGAACCCCCACTTTCTCCCAGTGGCAGGAGACTCATCTCTCTTCCTTTTCTTCTCCTGCAGCTCATTCACTCTCTGCTGCGTGGCAGCAGTAGAAATACCTGGTAGGACCCTGCTGGTAAAAGTCGTGGATGGAGCTGCCATTGCCCTCATATTTAGATTTTGACTGGCCACAAGACAGGCATTTCTTTGTGTGGGGTTTATTTGCTGGAGGCTGCTGCTGCTTTTCCAAGATCCGCTGCACAACCTTCTCTATGGCCTCCTCAGACAGCGGTGACATGAGTCTGAGCAGGAGGAGGGGGGTTCACTGCTGCAGGGGGCATGGTGACAACAGGCGCTGTGCTGGTCTTACTGCCTGCTGTGAGCGATGTACTCCCCCAGCACTTCAGCCTTGTCTGAGGCATCACCTCCTCTCACTCGCACCAGAGTGAGGGCGTTCTCCCTCACCACCTCCTCCCTCAGAGGAGCACCGCACTCCCTCATGGACGGGTCGTCCCTGATCTCCCTCGCCTCCTCTGAAGGGTCCTGCAGCAGGAATCCACGTGGGCCCTTGCGAAAAATCACAGTGACGCGGCCAGGAAAGAATGAAAATGTCTTCATATTGTCTGCAACAACAAAAAAAGATCATAAAATATCTAGCTATAGCATGATAGAGAAGTATGTATAATGTATATATCTTTAGCATAATAAAGAAGAATGAATCCTGTATAATCTAGAGAAGACATATACAGTTGTATGTTTACATCTGGACATTAGCAGCATGAGGCTCTGGGATACAGTAAGTACAGTTATAGAAGGAAAATATGAACTGGTAAAACACTAATACATTGTCGTAAACTAACTGCATATAATTCATTTTCAACTCAATGTGTTGCTGAACTATAGAAATGTGAAATACATATAGATAGTACACACATCAACAATAAGCATACTGTACACTACAGTACAACAGATGTAGCAAACTGTATTATACACTTATTGTGGCATCATGTGACTAACAGTACTATGCCTGTCACACATTATTAGCCTTAAATCACGTTTATGAGACAATAGTAAGTGAACAGAGAAAGAGCACAGTGACAACACTGAGCCAAACTCACAGCAGCACTTATACACAGCCTGTTACAACAACTATGTGCATTAAACTTATTAAAAGTGCATTTGATCTGTATACAGTGTGCTTTAGCTCACGTGTGTACATCCCAAAACACCGCGTTAACTAGCGCTGGAAATACTACTACAACCAGACGTAAACAAACTGCATTACTGTATACAGTAGAATACAGTGAATACAGATTGTTTGACAACGCAGAGAAAGTGTTTTCTTTACAATATTGATCCAAACAGAGAGATCTACGAGCAGCAGCAGCAGCAACAAACATATGACACGGAGGTAAACAATCATAAACAGCGCACTACACACTCGAGATTTAAACTACAGACGTGTGTGAACGATCTACGCACAATATGAGAGATTTATGGAGTGAAACATAAAGAACGAGCACAAAAACATTGTGTTTATCAGAGGAGACTTACCGAGTGCGTGTGTAATTCAGAATGAATGGAGAAAGCCGGCTCTCTCCGTTTTAGAGCAGCGCGCCCACGTCACTTCCGCTGGCACCGGAAGTGACGCATGAAACTTTTACCCATTCACTACCGTTGAAAATGGTTTAGCTCTGTTTAGGTAAACTATTCTCGGCAGCCGCGACCGAATCCCGTCAGATATCAGGAACTAAGCAGGGAAAGGCCTGGTTGGTATTGAGATGGGAGACCTCTGTTAACAGCAGATGGACTATTGCCTGTTATGCGTCTCAATTATGAGTCTGCTGTGTGTGAATGATTAGTGGTGGATGAAGCGGGCAATGGCATAAACTGGTTGTCTAGCTTCCATCAGTCTGCCCCAGGGCAGCTGTGGCTACAGTAGTAGCTTTTCACCATGCCATGTGCGGGGTCTTTGAACGTCCAAAAAAGCGTTAAATACTGTAAGCATACGACATTGTTATTGATAATAAAATCTTCTATTCTCTCAGTAGTGACACATTTCCTGTTGCACAAACTAACTTTAGAAGCTAAAGGCTTTAGATCCCTGATACTTAGAAGCAGAATTAAGTCTGTGAATGGCTGCTTCGTAGGATGCTAAGAATCCAGATTAGAACTCTTGCTCAGTGGGAACCACGGACTTATGCCTTGATTTAGTTTGGTTTATCCCAACAAAATGTAAAATGTTGTTAACAAATAAAACTAAATCATGCTGTCTTCATCTTATAAAACATTATTGATAAGAAAGAGTCACTATTTGATGCTTTGGGCTGAGAGTCTATTTTGAGTGAGGGTGGTTCGCTCTTTTTTTACTTTTCAGTCTGAAAACGCCGACCTGATGATAAAACCAAACTGTTGAGCGCAAGACACATTCTTATTTATCTATTGTTTCAGCTTCACAGGAGGATGCTGCAGGACTGCGCCTTGGCCTTCAACTCTATTCTAAGAGCTGTCATCTTGTTAATCCTGCTATTTTAAGCACCTGTTCCTCCACTGCAACCTGCTTCTATACTGCTGGGTTATACCTGCTGCACACGCCAGAGCTCTCCTGCACGCAGTCCAGGGTCAGCCCCCGGTCAGCCCCCGGTCAGCCCCCGGTCAGCCCCCAGTCAGTCCCCCAGTCAGCCCCCGGTCAGCCCCCAGTCAGTCCCCAGTCAGCCCCCGGTCAGCCCCCCGGTCAGCCCCCGGTCAGCCCCCGGTCAGCCCCCGGTCAGCCCCCGGTCAGCCCCCGGTCAGCCCCCGGTCAGTCCCCGGTCAGCCCCCGGTCAGCCCCCAGTCAGCCCCCGGTCAGCCCCCAGTCAGTCCCCAGTCAGCCCCCAGTCAGTCCCCAGTCAGCCCCCGGTCAGCCCCCAGTCAGCCCCCGGTCAGCCCCCAGTCAGCCCCCAGTCAGCCCCCGGTCAGCCCCCAGTCAGGACTCTCACTGTACTCAAACAATCAAAAAGAGGAATTGGTTGTGAGATATTCCAACACATGAAATCTCCTCAAACACCATCTTATGTTCTTTGGCCGATGACCAATGGTGTTTACAGAGGTTTGGGATCCTCTTTTTTGGCTCTCAGAAAAACTGACCTTTCCTTAACGAGATTGGGCCGGTGACGTTAATGACACTTTATAATGATTAAAGCTTTTTGGTCTTATTTCCGCCCCCCCATGGCACTGTACTCGTATGTGTCGTTTACTTGTGCACAAGCATACATTTGTTTTTAAAGTATGCATTTGTGAACTAGTTACTTAAGTTACAAGTACCACTTCATATTGTGTGCGTGTGTGTGTGTATATGCGTGAGTGCACGTGTGTTGCGTGCAGGCGTGTACGTTGATTACCTATTGAATGCATTAAGTTTTGTAAAAAAGCAACGGAAAAAGTCTGAACACAAGTTTCCAACACATGTTTTGAATCTGTGGATGCAGGGATTTTGCATCCCACAAAAATGATTAGATTCACAAAGCCGCTTTATTATTCTTATGTCTGAAAGTCTGTTCTACTGGCCAACATCAAGCATAAGTTTATGTTAATTTGGTAGCAAATGAGGAAAAGAGGAATCATTGAAATCATCTGTGCCAAAAAATCCAACTTGCTTACGTAGGTTTTGTTGCTGTGACAACCGCACATTCCAAAGAACCCATATTTTCACATTGCGGTGGAGGGCAACAGAAAAATCCTTCATGGAAGCTATGGTAAAAGTCAACTGTCAGATTATGTCCAAACTAAGACTATATCTATCTGTAATTCCTGGAACAATTCACATGAAACCAAAACCATCACAAAGTTCCACATTTCTGTCAGTACTAATGTGTCTAGAAGTGATGACATTATTTACCAACTTATGCTTGCTGTTGGCAGTAGAACAGACTTTCACACATGAGAATAATACAGCGACTTTGTGAATCGAATCATTTTTTCTCTATAGCACAAACACAACCTGTTCTTAAAGTAGGTTGCGTTTGTTTGTGCTGAATGTAGGTCATTGTTGTTCTCATCAGGTGAAAACAACAAGAGGAGCTCATACTTCAGCTAATCCTAAATACTTGAATATTCAAAACAGATTGACAATAGTAGCAGGCAGTCATTTCATAAGAAGCCGTGGCACAGAAACAGCAGGATTATCTTTGTAGCGCACAGAGGAAGTCCCCGAGATAATTCCCCGAGGACTTCCTCAGAGTGACCACAGCTGAGGATCCCAAAGTAAAGCAGAGTAGGAGCAGAGTAGGAGTATGAGCAGAGTATGAGCAGAGTATGAGCAGAGTATGAGCAGCGTAGGAGCAGCGTAGGAGCAGAGTATGAGCAGAGTATGAGCAGAGTATGAGCAGAGTATGAGCAGAGTATGAGCAGCGTAGGAGCAGAGTATGAGCAGAGTATGAGCAGCGTAGGAGCAGAGTATGAGCAGCGTAGGAGCAGAGTATGAGCAGAGTAGGAGCAGAGTATGAGCAGCGTAGGAGCAGAGTATGAGCAGAGTATGAGCAGCGTAGGAGCAGAGTATGAGCAGAGTATGAGCAGAGTATGAGCAGCGTAGGAGCAGAGTATGAGCAGAGTATGAGCAGAGTATGAGCAGAGTAGGAGCAGAGTAGGAGCAGAGTATGAGCAGAGTATGAGCAGCGTAGGAGCAGAGTATGAGCAGAGTATGAGCAGAGTAGGTCAGCTGCAGATTTGGACGTCTTCATGCTGTTATGTCTGGAGCAGCCCCATCTTTGAATATGACTGCTTATTGTCCTTCATATTTATAGATTCAATCAAATTCAGCAGCTTCATTAGCCACATGTTTTTAGTATTAATTTACACTATTAACACACTTTTGCAAATGAAAGAGAAATGCGTAAATAGTATTTATCTTGTCACACTGTATACATACTGACAGAACATTCAGATTAGTACTACGTATATTTGTTTTGGATTTTTGGATGAAAAAGGCTCCCGCACACTGTGTCCCTCTGAGCTTCTCCAGGCTGGTCGTCAGGTCAACACATCACACATAAACAAATGATAAGTGATTGAGGACTACTTAGTGTCATAGCCTAATAATGATGATAGTTATGGTTAAATAAGTCAGAGCACATGTTGGAACACTACACTTATCACTGTATTTCTTATTGTATGTTCATTGTGTGGACCTGATGTTCCTGCTGTCTCTGTAGCAGAGGGGGAGGGGCTGTCCTGCAGTCTGATAACGGTCAGAGTGACCCAAACGCTGCAACAACCATACAAAGTCTGCACAAGGCCTTTCTCATTTCCAAGTAAAACGTCCCTAATTAAGACCGGACTAATAAAGTATTAGTATTTGATCATGCAGATTTTATGAGCACATCTCCCATTATATTATTTTTAATTCAATTCAATATATTCTTGTACAGCCCTAAATGAAAACCGTAGTTATCTCGAGGCACTCCGTTGACTCTGCCAACACAGATCAGAGAATCAAACAGTTCAAACACAAGAAAGAAGGTGGTCCATAAGGGCAGAGGACCACAGTCCATAAATGTGCATAAATCTTGTTGAAAGTCAAGTGTCCTGGATCCTCATCACTGTCCTTATGTCAGACCCACCTGCAGCTTTCCCTGCTTCCCACTGGGATAGACGGGCTATAGATCCAGGACTCAGGATACAGACCGAGGACCAAGGACAGACAGACACAACTCAGTCTACTCAGGGGTCCTATCATAACGCCATGAAACAGACAATGGGACAGCGGGTGTATAGCAATGAACAGACTACACCCAAAGTCATGATGATGACAGATTGGATGAGGAGAGGATATAAGTATACATTAAACTACTACCAGTGTTCGGTAAGTTACTCTAAAATTGTAATTACTGGGATACAAATGGTACATATTTGTATTACTTTATCACTATTTTTAAAATGTACTTGAGCTGTTACAGTACATTGAGTGTTTTATTTTGTTCCTGGACACTCGTGTTCTCACAATGATTGTGTTTGAATGAGCACAATGTATTTTAAATACATAATTCTGCCGTTTCTGGTAACTGTACTCTTTTTAGTAGTAATAGCTATAATGATTGTCTTTGTTTAATAAAATAGTTGCAAACGGTGAGAAAACAAAGCCCACTTACAGCTTGTATTTGTAACTTGAGTTCCTTGATTGTATATTGTAATATTTAATATGTCTTTGTGTCCATTTTACTAAACCAAGTAACTTCAAAGAAGAATACATTACTGTAATATGTTACAAGTCACTCCCAACACTGACCACTATGCTACATATGCGTGGGTTTCAGAGTGATGAGGACTGTTTCATGTGAAAAAAAATCCTCAAAATGTTTCATGAAACAGCACAAAAATCCTTTCTTAATAGCCCCCCCATTGCATGCAGTTGCTATGGAGACGTCAGAGCCACACCTCCTTGTAGGGCTGCCGTGGCCAAATGCTCTGTTTCTAGGAAGACTTATCCCATTAGCGGGTTAACGCTGTTTTGGGCCAGTCAAGCCTTAAAGATTACGACCTGCTCTTTGATGAGGCTCCAGTCCCTCTGTCACTCACCTCAGCTGCCCAGGCCCCAGAGCACCGCCTCAGCCGTCTCTGCTTCAGCATGGGCTCCCACAGCTCCAGCCTGGATGACATCCTGGAGGAGGACATGCATCACTGGTACACCAAGTTCATGAGGGAGTCTCCATCCGGCCTCATCACGCTGTTCGAGCTCAAGGCCATGTTGGAAATGACCGGGATGACCGAGGAGGCCAGCAGTTACGTGGACCAGGTCTTCTTCACCTTCGACATGGATGGGGTGAGACCACTTCTGCAACTACACCCAGTTTAGAAAATAAATGAATTGTCCATTGCTTCTGTGATTTGAAAGACAACCCAACCTAGAGTACCACATCTTTTCAGAGGTCATCCTCACTTGATCCAGTCAAATCCAATCAAAGTGGATCAATGGGTCTGAGTACAGTTGATTTGATACAACCTTAAAAGCTATGAAAGTTTCCCTGTAAAATGTGCTCATGGTTCAGGGTTAGCCCAAAGGAGATGATTGATACTGAGTGGAGGCATATTCCACGGTTAGGGATTACATTCAGTCAAGAGCACAGCAGGGCATCGTTCCCCGTTCTAAATAATGGATGTTCATAATTAATGGGTAAATACAATTGTTTCTTTTCTGTTATCTAAAACCGACAACATCTCAGAAGAATTTGTTTTATTATTTTGCTAATATTCACTTTTCCTATCGTGTGTAGAGCTCCTCATTCCTACTATTCTGTAACTTGTGATGCAACACTGAAATCTCCCCACTGTGGGACAAATCAAGGGTTTCTTAATCTTAACTCATTGACTGCCATTGACATATTTGTCTGAGACCCTATTTTCGACTGGGGATTACAGGACAATAAAAACAGCTAGAAACAAACTTATTTTTGCTGATCAAAGTAGACAATCCAGTATTTCAGAATCTGGTTTCATATTTCACATAGTCTTAGGAAATAATATTCTGTGGGTCTTGAGAATCAGTGAAATCATCAAAAACGGCTGGCAGTCAATGAGTTAATGTGGAATGCACTGATATCCCGTTTCTTAAAGGGCTCAACAAGCATTAGACTGATTAACCATTTGGCTAATCAAATTGTATTGCAGTCGCTAACTGGACGACACACACTCTAAATAGTTGTAGTATGGAAATATTTTATCTATTTCAAACATACACAAAATAAAACAATAAACAAGATACAAAATAGACAGAAAAAAACAATTGAGAAGGGTTTGTTTGGCTTCAACCCATCTCACTCATAAAACACATGCACGCACGACAATATACAGGCCCAAACACTCTCTGACCATACACCTCACATAACAGTAGATATTTACAGACATTAATAGTGGTATTATACCCCAGTCTGACCATATTTATGTATATTTGCCCTGCAGGACGGATACATAGACTTTGTGGAATACATTGCAGCCATCAGCTTACTACTAAAAGGAGAAATCAACCAGAAACTCAAATGGTACTTCAAGCTTTTTGACCAGGACGGAAACGGCAAGATCGACAGAGACGAGATGGAGACGATATTTAAGGTGCGTGTCTTTTCGTGGAAGAGTTATAGTATTAGTTTAATTGGGTTCATTAAAGATGTCATGGCTTGTCCCAATACTCGAGCCAAAGAATTGTGTGACCTAGACATGACTCCCATAATCCAGTGTTCTTACCTAACCCTGGCTCAAGGCGGAGCTGTCCACACATAACCTCCTTTCACAGAATAGCTGCGAGGAAATACTTTGATTTCTACACAGCTCAAACTCACAAAAAAAGGATCCATTCACTTTTTTTGTAAATCTATTGTAGCTTCATTACACACAAAGTGAAATATATCAAACCTGTCTTTGTTATATGTTGATAATTGGCTCACAGCTGTAAAAACACAAATAAAACATTACAAGTTTTGGAAAATGGACTTTACGCCATATAATCATCAACGTTTTAACAAAGGCTTGGCATTCGTCACTTTGCATGCAATCAGTTTATATCATGAATTGGGTTCACTTTGTAAATTAAAATAAATAAATGAACTTTTGAGCAATATTCTAATTTTCAGAGTTTCACCTGTGTATGTAGAAAGATTTTTGAAAAGCGACATTGAATATCTTTTAAATTTGCGTCCATAAATATCTGAAAATGCATAAAACAATGTCTTTATTGGTTGGACAAGGTTGTTTCGATCTTGATTTATGGCAATTTTCCAGTGGGACAGGTGAACATTTTGAAAACAATACTGCTTCCCATGAAATAAGAGTTTTCTGCTTGTCCCAGCGGCAAATCTAGTTCGAAGGAAAAGTCAAAACGTCCTGCAGTGAGGTAGATAAAAGGTTCACTACTTAATTGCCTAATCTTAAAAAAATGAAAAATGGGATTGTAGTAATCTGTGTTTCCCAAACGACGGAACGCAGACCCCTGGTGGTAGAAGGGGGTATTACAGGGGGGACCTGAAATGATTTTCAAGACCTGCAAACATTGGTAAGAGGTTAATACTATAGCATGTTATACATCATTTATAGCCAGTTCTAGGGATTAAACAAGCACATTGATTATATTATTCTAATCATTGTATACCCAGAACACAATTATCAGTGAAACAGTCTGCAGTAATGGCCTCGCCTTCTTAGTTTTTGGTTCAGTTCAAGCAGAAAAAGACTACAACCAAATAATAATAGTAATTTTGTAAAACTACATACATAACAAAGAAAATGTTGGAGACCTAAAAAACTGTTGCAGAGTATGTTTGTCCGACGCAGGTTGGGAACCACAGACTAACATCCTTCTAGTACCTGCTGTAGAGCTAGAACCAAAGAGCAGTAACATGTTCATTTAAGTTTTGGGTCAAACTCCAAACGGTGTGAGCTGCTCCGTCTGAAGTTGCACGTCTGTGTTTGTCTGCAGGCAATTCAAGACATCACCAGGAGTTATGAGATTCCTCCAGAAGAGATCGTCAATCTGATCTACGAGAAGGTCGATGTTCACGGAGAGGGTGAGGGTTCTGTTTCACTGTATGGTTTTCATGCCTTTTCCAACATATGTGGACGTATTTGAAATTATTATTATTTTTTTTATTATGACTATTTTCTGCCCCGATCAGAAAGGGAAGTAAACACAAATCAGTGACAAAACACAGTAGTTTGTTCAAAACACTTCAAAAGGATATTTGTTCATAATTTTATCAAATAATCAAAAGTATTAATTTAAAATCTGGATTCAAATAAAATGGAATTGTCCTAAAGGAAAATTTGCCAACAGGACAAAAAAGAAAACATTGATATTGATTGATATTGTGTAATTTTTTTAAACATATTTTTGGGAGTGAATTCTATAATCTTTCTGAAATTATAGAAATATAATATATAATTATAGAAGAAATTATACTGTATATGACAGAGAATATTGTTCTCTAATAAAGTTAAATTGCTGTTCTAGATTAACTACGCATAAAGATGAATATTGTAAGAACGTGTTTACAGCTTGAGCAGCACAAATTTAACTTTGTCACAAAATTTAGAATGTTTTAGATTTTCCATTACTCACTACTGAGACATTATGTGTGGGATAATGTCTTTATCCCAAACAAATGAGGAGGCTTTGAACATGTCTGTATTAACCTGACCTCCTCCTGCTGCCTCCTCTGCAGGAGAGCTGACCCTGGAGGAGTTCATCAGCGGAGCACAAGAGCATCCGGACATCATGGACATGTTGGCCAAGATGATGGACCTCACCAACGTCTTGGAGATCATTCTGAAAGGACAGAGACGGAAGGCTGTCAACTGAGGAGGAGGAGCAGGAGAAGGAGGAGGTGGAGGAGAAGGAGGAGGTGGAGGAGAAGGAGGAGGTGGAGGAGACGCAGGAGAAGGAGGAGCAGGAGTTTTGTATGCACTGTCCCAATGAGACGCACCTGAAATGGACAGAGTGAGCAGTCTACAGAGAAGTGACCAAGCCAGTGAAGGGTCAGAGGCTGGAGGGTCAGAGGCTGGGGGGGTCAGAGGCTGGGGGGTCAGAGGCTGCAGGGTCAGAGGCTGGAGGGTCAGAGGCTGCAGGGTCAGAGGCTGCAGGGTCAGACGCTGGGGGGGTCAGAGGCTGCAGGGTCAGAGGCTGGGGGGTCAGAGGCTGGGGGGTCAGAGGCTGCAGGGTCAGAGGCTGCAGGGTCAGAGGCTGGGGGGTCAGAGGCTGCAGGGTCAGAGGCTGCAGGGTCAGAGGCTGGGGGGTCAGAGGCTGCAGGGTCAGAGGCTGGAGGGTCAGACGCTGCAGGGTCAGAGGCTGGGGGGTCAGAGGCTGGGGGGTCAGAGGCTGCAGGGTCAGAGGCTGCAGGGTCAGAGGCTGGGGAGTCAGAGGCTGCAGGGTCAGAGGCTGCAGGGTCAGAGGCTGGGGGGTCAGAGGCTGCAGGGTCAGAGGCTGGAGGGTCAGACGCTGCAGGGTCAGAGGCTGGGGGGTCAGAGGCTGCAGGGTCAGAGGCTGGGGGGTCAGAGGCTGCAGGGTCAGAGGCTGGGGGGTCAGAGGCTGCAGGGTCAGAGGCTGGGGGGTCAGAGGCTGGGGGTCAGCTCTGAGCGTGTTCCGAGGCCTGGGGTTTAAAGACTGTAAAATAAAGCTCTGCAATCACTTTATCATTATCTTTCATTTACAAATTAGAGCTGTTTGATCAGGCCCTTGTTATTTTCAAGATTGTCTCCACTCTTTGAAAACAGAAGCATTTATCGTGTAGCACAGTTTAGTGTTTGGTTTTCAAAATGGCTGAATCTAAAGTTGCCTTATTAATTCATATTAAATTGTTTAAAAAATGCACAGTGGCTCATGTCATTCTTTTTCAAATAATCCTTCTATTTAATGGTGTCTCACCTGATGATGTGTTGTCAGGACACGAAAAAATATACTGTACATACTGAGACAAATACTCAATATTTCAATTAAGATAATACATTTTCAACCTAAAACAATGATTCGAGTTCATCGATGCACTCTCAAAAAATACTTGGAGTACAACCATACTCAGCACAGCATCCTGTAACGTTACTTTATTGAGTCTAATAGAAATTCCACAGGTTTTTAGTTTCAGCTCAAATTCTTTTGATGTGGTGAGAATATTGGAGGTTTCTTCTGTTGAAGGATTTTTTTCAAAACTGTTCGGTTTGGTGGTTCTTATACACTTTCAAAGCTTCAGACCATTCAAAAATACACCAAACGATTTTGGAGCCGGGAATTTGTTGCTTGGTCCATGAATTGAACAAATATGTTGTTCCGGTGGACCGGCTGGTGTCCTGGTGTCTCCTACAGGAGGGAGGTGGACCGGCTGGTGTCCTGGTGTCTCCTACAGGAGGAGGTGGACCGGCTGGTGTCCTGGTGTCTCCTACAGGAGGGAGGTGGACCGGCTGGTGTCCTGGTGTCTCCTACAGGAGGGAGGTGGACCGGCTGGTGTCCTGGTGTCTCCTACAGGAGGGAGGTGGACCGGCTGGTGTCCTGGTGTCTCCTACAGGAGGGAGGTGGACCGGCTGGTGTCCTGGTGTCTCCTACAGGAGGAGGTGGACCGGCTGGTGTCCTGGTGTCTCCTACAGGAGGGAGGTGGACCGGCTGGTGTCCTGGTGTCTCCTACAGGAGGGAGGTGGACCGGCTGGTGTCCTGGTGTCTCCTACAGGAGGAGGTGGACCGGCTGGTGTCCTGGTGTCTCCTACAGGAGGGAGGTGGACCGGCTGGTGTCCTGGTGTCTCCTACAGGAGGGAGATGGACCGGCTGGTGTCCTGGTGTCTCCTACAGGAGGAGGTGGACCGGCTGGTGTCCTGGTGTCTCCTACAGGAGGGAGGTGGACCGGCTGGTGTCCTGGTGTCTCCTACAGGAGGGAGGTGGACCGGCTGGTGTCCTGGTGTCTCCTACAGGAGGGAGATGGACCGGCTGGTGTCCTGGTGTCTCCTACAGGAGGAGGTGGACCGGCTGGTGTCCTGGTGTCTCCTACAGGAGGAGGTGGACCGGCTGGTGTCCTGGTGTCTCCTACAGGAGGGAGGTGGACCGGCTGGTGTCCTGGTGTCTCCTACAGGAGGGAGGTGGACCGGCTGGTGTCCTGGTGCAGTGGTAACAACCTGGAGCTGAACGCCCAGAAGACAGTGGAGATGATTGTGGACTTCAGGAAGAGCACTGTCCCCCCGCCCCCACCCTCCGTGATGGACTCCCCCATCACCTCTGTGGAGTCCTTCCGTTTCCTGGGCACCACCATCACCCAGGACCTCAAGTGGGAGCCGACCATCAGCTCCCTCATCAAGAAGGCCCAGCAGAGGATGTACTTCCTGCGGCAGCTCAGGAAAGCCAAGCTGCCTGCACAGATGTTGGTGCAGTTCTACACGGCCATCATCGAGTCCATCCTAACCTCCTCCATCACCTCCTCCATCACCTCCTCATCACCTCCTCCATCACCTCCTCCATCACCTCCTCCATCACCTCCTCATCACCTCCTCCATCACCTCCTCATCACCTCCTCCATCACCTCCTCCAGCACCTCCTCCATCACCTCCTCCGTCACCGTGTGGTTCGCTGGAGCCACAGTCAGGGACAAACAGAGACTACAGCGCATTGTGCGCTCTGCAGAGGAAGTGATCGGCCGCAGCCTTCCATCGCTGCAGGACCTGTACGTCGCCCGAGCTCGAGGCCGGGCTGGTCATATCACAGCCGACCCCTCTCACCTGCACATGGACTATTCCAACCACTCCCCTCTCACCTGCACATGGACTATTCCAACCACTCCCCTCTCACCTGCACATGGACTATTCCAACCACTCCCCTCTCACCTGCACATGGACTATTCCAACCACTCCCCTCTCACCTGCACATGGACTATTCCAACCACTCCCCTCAGGCAGGAGGCTGCGGTCCATCAGGACTAGAACCTCCCGCCACAAGAACAGTTTCTTCCCCTCTGCTGTTGGACTCTTGAACACTTCTTAACCTGTCCCCCCGCCCTTTATAAAGTCACTTTACTGCCCATCATACGTCACTTTACTTCACTGTACTGCTGTCACCTTACATTGTGTGCACCATGTGCACTTGTATATTGTAAATAGTAACTGTAACTCTAATTTAAATTTATTCTTTAGAAGTGTTTTTTATTCTTTATTATTTATTATCTCTTTCTGACTGTTGCACTGAGCCAAAGCAATTTCCTAGTCTGTGACCTCCTATTACTTACGTGGCAATAAAAATTATTCTGATTCTGATTCCATGTGTTCAGGTGAAAGTTGGGCCCCCCAGATTTCCATGCTCCAGAACATTCAACACTATTTAGTGAAGTGTGTCCTTGTTTAAGTTCTTTATCCTCATGGGATCAGAGTTCCCTCGATCATGTGAATAGTGCCAAAGGTTCCAAAGTAAGAAAGTTGAAACCTTGTTGAGAGAAAATCTCTCCAATAAGTATTCCAATAAGAGTGTAACTGAGGTTCACTATCTCCCAACTCCAGGTGTGACCCTGAGCCAACGGGAGGGTCAACGCTGTTGGTTAGGCCTGAGCAAAGGCCACGTCAGCCCCAGCCTCAGGCCTGGCTCCAGGATCCAGGATCCAGGGTGGGGCTCCAGCTGTGACCTAGTTTTTTTGCTGATGCGTGTTCAGCAAAAACAATATAGCAGTAATTTATACGGCAATAAAACCAAACAGTTTAATTGGCTGAGTCCAGTATTACCCCTGGACCTCTCTGACCTTGTTTGAAGGTTTTAGTGAGAGAGACTGGAGGTGACAGATGACTCTCTCTTTGTTTCTGAGGACCAAAGACAATCCTTTCAGGGCCATACGATCCCTTCAGTTCACTGAATTATTTAAGTATCATAAACATGTGGTTGTTGCAAACTGTGCCAAACCGTGTGATGTCAGCTCTATTATCTGCTGTGCTTAAAGTTAGGGTACCTAACTTTCACTCCTTTCAGCTTATGTGACACATGCAAAAGAAAGCATGTTTTCTTAAAAGATGAAGGATGATGATGTCTTTTACAGTTGTGATTCTGTTGGGACAAACTAAACGTGATATTTGTGAAAATAAACCACAAGCATTAAGTAACCCATATATTAAAAAATATATCAAATAATAAAAAAACAAATCATCCAGATTTGGTCATTATCTGGATAGTGCTTTCAAATCTTGGAGTCTAAAGTCATTAATAATATCCAAACAACACGGCAACCTTTCCCACTGTTGTCCCGAACAAACACGGGTCTCAGAAAGAACAAGTCTTTTCATTCTTAAGATCTTCTGCTACACGTTCATTTTGACGGACGATATATTAATTTGATGAATGACATTGAAATTACTTAGTGCCACTGGTAAAATTACAGTACAGCAGGAAAATCCATGAGAACCATTATTTATCTTTATCTTTAAAAGCCATAAACTGAAACAAACGCACACAGAACTAAAGCCCACAGCTTTACCAACATTTTCATTTTTTTTTTATTTCCATGAATAATACATTGCGTTTGTCCAAACACAAAGAGCCTTGTAAAATGAGACCACACTATGCTTTTGTTAGAAAACTTCTTTTGCATAATTGTAAGAAAGAGCCTTGTTAGGAGGCTCTAGTTCACTTTTAAGGCTGAAAAAGCTGATCTAAATATGTAAGCCGGAAATATATGTCCCTCGCTCATGGGCTAGTTACCGGTAGATGGATTTTATGGCAAACCAGCTTTAATCAAAAATGTACTCTCAATTATCATTTAGTCACATTTCAAAAGATAGATTTCAAAATAAGTCTATTTGAGAAAAGCCTAAACAAAGTTCTCTTATCAGCACATATAGATTCAACAAAACGCTCCCAACGCGGTGGCCAGTTCCCTTAATCATTGAACTGGAGGTCACATCAGAGCATGCTGTCCAGACACTATTAAAAAGTCAGGTTATGTAATTCAAAGAAAGATAAGACTTTGACTCCAAATAACTCTGTGCGCTTTCAAACTTATCGGACGAGGCTCTTACGCAACAAATCAAGCATGTATAAAACGATAGACTTCGCCCGCCTGCTCCTCTGCTCTGCTCTGACCCAGCCCCAGCCCGCAACATGCAACCCAGCGACGCCAAACTGTACCGCAACAGCCTGTCCCGGGCCCTGAGGAGCTACAGCGCGGCCGTGAGCGACATGGAGCGGACCATCCTGGTGCCCAGCCTGCTCCGGGACGTGCCCTCGGACGAGCTGAGGGACTGCGAGGAGAGCCGGGACCTGTATGAGAGCTACCAGATGCTCAAAGCCATCAGGACCAGCGCGGAGAGCAGTTTGGGGTCTCAGGTGGAGCGGAAGGTGCAGGCCGGGGTGTCCAGCCTGGAGCCAGTGCTGGACGCGGAGGGCCTGTTCCACTTCCACCTCTGGGGACTGTTCTCGGTGATGAGAGATTTGACCGTGCGGACCCAGAACCTAACGGAGAAGTACAAGGAGATCATCGGGGTTGCAGACTGATGCAGGCAGAGCAGAGTGTGGACTGTGACAAAGATGACCGTGAATGTAACTTAAAAGCTAATAAATGTGCATCGCCAAAGCTATTGATAATATGAGTGCATTTATTTAACTTTGGAAATTATTGTTTCAGAGAATGACAAATAATCCAATACATAAAGTCATGCAACCTGCCGGGAGAAGAAAAACAACTATGGTCTCAGAAGACGTTTTGACAGAGCAAAGTAAAGTAATAATCCAGCACATTAAACAGCACATTTAATTTGGTGTTGAAAAATTACTACATTTAATCAAAATACCAACACTAGATATGAAATAAATATCAATACAAGAATAATAACAATATAATTAGAAAGAAGGCAAGAAATAATGCAAAAAACGACTATTTCTGATAATAATTTCAATTCTTTTTAACCAACAAAACCTTTTTTTTTACTGCATTTTGACCATTCCCCTCATTCAAAATAATAGCATTTTGGTTTTAAATGGGTAATAACTGTAAACATAATGCATTATTTGAGGGCCTTCCAACATATATGGGGCACCTTTTTATATATTTATATATTAATAAATGTTGCATCTATAGGCTTTTTAAATCTTATACATGCACTTATATGCATAAAGAACATTCAAATGAATAGCATTGATATAAAAACACTAAAAGCCATTCAAATGCAGACTTGAACAATTATTTCATATTGTTGACATTTTATTTGGATAAAGTGGTTTGGTGATTCCCTTTGGACAGTCTCACTAAAGGCTTGGCTCACATTCTACTTGGGACAAACTACATGCGGTATTTGTGAAAAGAACTCCCACAAAAGTGAAGAACCCCAGCTTTCCAAAATGTCTTTCTATTGTGTTTGTAGATTTGTATTTATTTTTTTTATTTTTATCAATTACATCAAAATAGACAAACACATTAAAGGCACACCGTGTAACTCTTGGCCACTAGGGGCGCTAGACCTGCAACTTTCACGTTTAGCGCCCCTAGTGGCCACAAGCAACTCAGCACTGTCGCAAAAGTCAACAAACAGTCAGCCGGTGTCTTTTGAGTGTGTATTCAGACAGCATGCACTGGTGTGTGTGTTCAAACTGTAGAGACATGCCTACAGATATACATAGTTCCCACAGACCAATGAATGTCACATGACCTCCTCGGAGACGCCATCTTTGATGGCACGCTGCTGTGTTTGTGCATTCCATTAAACAGAAGAATGAGAATAAATGTAGATATTCAAACGCAAATTGGAAAAAAAGGGCAACTTTTGAGCAAATAATTGTATATTAATACAATGGCACCACAGTTTAACGTGCTACGGACATGTTTTACATATTTGATCAAATTATGCAGCAAAAATTAACAAGCAATGCAAACATTTCTCAAAAACTTTAGATTTAATACCAGTTGGAGCTCCATTTAATTATTTTAATTATATTAACAATTAATTTAATTAATGCTAATGCCACACGGACACTCTGGATTGCTGTTATTGTTTATTTCCGCGTTTTTGACCGTATGTTTTTGGTGAATGGTGGGCAACTGATTTTTCCAGGCGTAAAAGAGCAGTTTATTTTATGACACAGATCTTTTTACAGAAGCAATGCTGTTTGTGAACATTGTTTTAGCCCACCATAGAACTATTATTATCTATTTAATACATTTACGTTGCCCTCGAGAGCCTCGGACGCGACACCGATCCTCCTCATAATAAAGTAATCTAAATAATGAAACTCTCAAGTTACCAGATATCAGCATACACAAGTTAGTACTGAGTAAATTACGTCTGTCAACACATTATAAGATACGATACGCACCTGACACAAAGTGCTCCGAGCATATTCTTGCGTGTTTTGAGGGAGTTTCTTGCCTGTTTATCTTCGCAAGCCATAACCTCCGTCGTTGTTCTGACAAAAGCTTCGTCTTCTCACATTCATGAAGTCTAATGATGGGTATACTGTAAAATCCAAGTTTAACGGAACCTCCGGCACGATTTGAACATCCATTGACCCAGCAGGAGATGACCATTTTCAACTTTATCACGACATTAACACGTTTCAGCTTGTTTTTCTATTGTTTTGCCCACAGAATGCCAAGACAAATGGCGCCGGGTCGGCAAATCCCCGTATGTAGTGACGTCATGTGGGAACTATGTATTGAGAGACTCTGCTGTGGTCAGCCTCCAGACCGCTGCATTAGTAATCTACCACACATGGACTTCTATATCCTGGATGAGGGAGTTCTGCGTCTAGCTCGTGCTGCGTGGAATGACATCTTTGCAGTCGATGACATCCAGGAACCAGGTGAAGAGCAGCGCTCATACAGACATGCAGCTTACAGCACGATCCCTTTCGCGTTTCCTCTTTTTAGCCTCCTCCGAAGGTTTAACATTTTTCCTTGCCTCAGCCATGACCAGGAGTCGAGCAGGTGAAAAATGAGTAGCAAAAGCCTTAGCTCCATGAGTATATCAGCGCCTGTAGCCGTAAAGCAAGTCTTTCTTCCAAGTCACGTGACCTGGTGGCAGACGGTCCGTCTGCTCGAAACTTACATGGGCGGTATTTCAAGAGGGCAGCCCCGCTCGGAGCATTGCAAGTGTCAAGCGCTGTATATTGGCCCAAGTATTCATATAAAATAACTCATATGTGTCAACTCTTTAGGTCACAAAGTCCGCGGTGTGCCTTTAACATTCAACAAGAACACAACATGAGCACGGTGGCTGAGAGGATAGCACTCTCGCCTCTCAGCAAGAAGGTCCTGGGTTCGACTCCGGTTCTCCCCGTGTCTATGTAGGTTTCCTCTGGGTACTCCGGTTTCCCCTACCACTAAAAACATGTACAATAGGTCTGGCCTGCGCCTCCTGTTCGGTGACCCCGCTCCCATCTCTGTGTGGAGTGAGAGGACAAGTGCCCAAAAATAACAATTTTAAACCGCTTTGTGACTCTGGTCTGTGAAAGGCGGTGTATAAAGAGAGACAGTGGCTCAGTTGGTAGAGCATTGGCCTTTGAGCCTGAAGGTTGTGGGTTCAAGCCCACCGTAAGACCTACTTCACGACTCCCACTGATGACTGCTGTCGTTGTGTCCTTGGGCAAGACACTTAACCCCACTTTGCCTGAAGCTCCCACTGAAAGATCTCAGCTCCTGTGGACTCACCACCTGCAGGAGGATCAGTGAGGGGCTGGTGCTCTGTGGACTGGGTGGCATCTCTGGCCACCCCCCCAACCCAGAAATGGATTAAGGGGAAGAAAATGGATGGATGGATGGATGGATACTCACTTACTTACTATAAAATACCAACCCCAAACAGAACAAATTTGGCAATAACCAAAAGACAATTAAAACAAGAATAAACAAAACATAAAGCATACCCCCTGGACTGCCACCTTAACGTGGTGGGGGAGTTTGAGTACTCGGGTGATCCTGGGAGCTATGCTGTCTGGGGCTTCATGCCCCTGGTAGGGTCTCCCATTGCAGACAGGTCTCGGGTGACGAGTCAGACGAAGAGCAGTCAGAAGCCAACATGGACAGCACGAACAGAAGAACCGTGACGTCGCCCGCCATGGCGCAGCCCCACCCTGGAGCCAGGCCTGGGGTCGGGGCTCGAATGCGAGCGCCTGGTGGCCGGGCCTTCGCCCACGGGGCCCGGCCGGGACGACGTGGGCAGTCCCTCCTGTGGGCCCACCACCTGCAGAGGGGTCCATGGTGGCGCGGTGCAGAGAGGACTGGGCAGCAGTCGAAGGCGGAGACCTTGGCGACCCAGTCCACACACCCAACATCTGGCTCTTGGGCTCCTTCCCACCCAGTGAGGTTACGTTCCACGTCCCAAGCTCGTGGGGGAGGTCGAGCGATACCGACTAGAGATAGTCGGCCTCACCTCCACACACAGCTTGGGCTCTGGAACCCAACTCCTTTAGAGGGTTTGGGCGCCCCACTTTTCTGGTGTTTCCCGCGGGGAGAGGCGGCGAGCTGGGGTGGCCATTCTCATTGCCCTCCATCTCAGCCGCCACGTGTTGGAGTTCTCCCCGGTGAATGAGAGGGTCGCGTCCCTCCGCCTTCGGGTGGGGGACAAGTCTCTCATTGTTGTGACGGCCTACGGGCCTAACAGCAGTGCAGAGTACCCGGCCTTCTTGGAGTCCTTGGGAGGGGTACTGGACGGTGCACCAACCGGGGACTCCGTTATTCTCCTGGGGGACTTCAACGCCCATGTGGGAAATGCCAGTGACACTTGGAGAGGGGTGATTGGGAAGAACGGCCCGCCCGGTCTGAATGCGAGCGGTGTTCCGTTGTTGGACTTCTGTGCCAGTCACGGTTTGTCCATCACGAACACCATGTTCGAGCACAAGGGTGTCCACCAGTGCACGTGGCACCAGGACACCCTAGGCCGGAGGTCAATGATCGACTTTGTTGCCGTATCATCGTGTCTCGGACACTCGGGTGAAGAGAGGGGCGGAGCTGTCAACCGATCATCACCTGGTCGTGAGTTGGATCCGCTGGCAGGGCAGGAAGCCGGTCAGACCTGGCAGACCCAAGCGTGTAGTGAGGGTTTGCTGGGAACGTCTCGCTGAGCCCCGTTAGACGGACTTTCAACTCACATCTCCGGGAGAGCTTCTCCCAGGTCCCGGCGGAGGAGGGGGACATGGAGTCCGAGTGGACCATGTTCTCTTCCTCTATCGCCGATGCGGCGGCTCGTAGCTGTGGTCGCAGGGTCTCTGGTGCTGGTCCCGGCGGCAATCCCCAAACCCGGTGGTGGACACCGGCAGTAAGGGATGCCGTCAGGCTAAAGAAGGAGTCCTATCGAGCAATGATGGTTCATGGAACTCCTGAGGCAGCTGTCCAGTACCGGCAGGCCAAGCGCGCCGCGGCCCGGGCTGTTGCAGAGGCAAAAACCCGGGACTGGGTGAGTTCGGAGAGTTCATGGAGCATGACTATCGGTCGGCCTCAAAGAGATTCTGGCAAACCGTCCGGCGCCTCAGGAGGGGGAAGCAGTTCTTTGCCAACACTGTGTACGGTGCGGGTGGAGGGCTGCTGACCTCGACTGGGGATATTGTCGGGCGGTGGAAGGAATACTTCGAGGTTCTCCTCAATCCCCCCGTCACGTCCTCCACCCCGGGGGCAGAGGCTGAGGATGTTGGGGCGGATGCTTCCATCTCCCTGGCAGAGGTCACCAAGGTGGTTGGCAGCCTCCATGGTGGCAAGGCGCTGGGAGTGGATGAGATCCGTCCTGACTATCTAAAGTCTCTGGATGTTGTAGGACTGTCTTGGCTGACACGTCTCTGCAACATCGCGTGGCGATCGGGGGCGGTGCCAATGGAGTGGCAGACCGGGGTGGTGGTCCCTCTCTACAAGAAGGGGGACCGGAGGGTGTGTTCCAATTATCGTGGGATCACACTCCTCAGCCTCCCCGGTAAGGTTTACTCCAAGGTACTGGAGAGTAGGCTACGGCCGATGGTCGAATCTCGGATTCAGGAGGAGCAGTGTGGTTTTCGTCCCGGTCGCGGAACACTGGACCAGCTCTATACTCTCCATCGGATACTCGAGGGTTCATGGGAGTTCGCCCAACCTGTCCACATGTGCTTTGTGGATTTGGAGAAGGCGTTCGACCGTGTTCCCCGGGGTGTACTTTGGGGGGTCCTCTGCTGAGGGCCGTCCGGTCCCTGTATGACCGGAGCCAGAGCAGTGTTCGCATTGCCGGCAGTAAGTCAGACCTGTTCCCGGTGCATGTTGGCCTCCGCCAGGGCTGCCCTTTGTCACCGGTTCTGTTTACCGTGAAGGAAGGATGGAGCGTGAGATTGACAGGCGGATCGGTGCAGCGTGCGCAGTGATGCGGTCGCAGTGATGGGGTCGCTGTATCGGACCGTCGTGGTAAAGAGGGAGCTGAGCCGAAAGGCAAAGCTCTCGATTTACCGGTCAATCTTCGTTCCCTCCCTCACCTATGGTCATGAGCTTTGGGTAATGACCGAAAGAACGAGATCGCGGATACAAGCGGTCGAAATGAGCTTGCTCCGCAGAGTGGCTGGGCGCTCCCTTAGAGATAGGGTGAGGAGCTCTTCACGTCGAGAGGAACCAGTTGAGGTGGCTCGGGCATCTGTTCCGGATGCCTCCTGGACGCCTCCCTGGGGAGGTGTTCCGGGCACGTCCCACCGGGAGGAGGCCCCGGGGAAGACCCAGGACACGCTGGAGGGATTATGTCTCTCAGCTGGCCTGGGAACGCCTTGGGGTCCCCCCAGACGAGCTGGAGGAAGTGTGTGTGGATAGGGAAGTCTGGGCGTCTCTGCTTAGACTGCTGCCCCCGCAACGGATGAAACGGAAGAAGATGGAATGGAATGGAATGGAATGGAATAAAGCATACATTTAATTCAGCAAAACATACACCTCAGTCCGTGCACCTTCCGTTTCTAACATACAGTATTAAAGAAGGACGATGAAGGGGTAATGAGGGCGATATCACACATAACCTCAGAGCAGCATGTGTGTGGCCTTTACCTCAGAGCAGCATGTGTGCGGCCTTTACCTCAGAGCAGCATGTGTGCGGCCTTTACCTCAGAGCAGCATGTGTGCGGCCTTTACCTCAGAGCAGCATGTGTGCGGCCTTTACCTCAGAGCAGCATGTGTGCGGCCTTTACCTCAGAGCAGCATGTGTGCGGCCTTTACCTCAGAGCAGCATGTGTGCGGCCTTTACCTCAGAGCAGCATGTGTGCGGCCTTTACCTCAGAGCAGCATGTGTGCGGCCTTTACCTCAGCGCAGCATGTGTGCGGCCTTTACCTCAGAGCAGCATGTGTGCGGCCTTTACCTCAGAGCAGCATGTGTGCGGCCTTTACCTCAGAGCAGCATGTGTGCGGCCTTTACCTCAGAGCAGCATGTGTGCGGCCTTTACCTCAGAGCAGCATGTGTGCGGCCTTTACCTCAGAGCAGCATGTGTGCGGCCTTTACCTCAGAGCAGCATGTGTGTGGCCTTTACCTCAGAGCAGCATGTGTGTGGCCTTTACCTCAGAGCAGCATGTGTGTAGCCTTTACCTCAGAGCAGCATGTGTGTAGCCTTTACCTCAGAGCAGCATGTGTGTGGCCTTTACCTCAGAGCAGCATGTGTGTGGCCTTTACCTCAGAGCAGCATGTGTGTAGCCTTTACCTCAGAGCAGCATGTGTGTAGCCTTTACCTCAGAGCAGCATGTGTGCGGCCTTTGAGTGTTCTTCGCTTGAATTGTAAAGTTTAAAAAGCTGTGTAAAGGAGATCGGATTGTAATGACAGTTTTTAGAGTAATTAAATTAGAACCAGTCGCAGCAAATACACGGACGACTGGGCCTTTAATCAATGCAGAGACGGCCGTCTGACGCCATGCTGAGTTTGCAAAGGCCTCTGCTGTCTGCTCCTTTCACACCTAAGACAAAGGCCTTCCTGTGTCTTGCGCTAAAACAAAAGGTGATGTTTGCATGATAATCTCAGCCCATGTGACGTCACGGCTTTGGGGCCCTGCTGTGCGCCTCCTGAGTATATGTATTGGTACAGTAGCTGTGCCCCGGCAGAGCTCACGATGCAAGACTGTATGTCGGCTCTCCGCATATATATGTGTAAAATAAATGTGTTTACATCTTTGATTTAAGACAAATACCTTTCCAGCTTTTTCCTTACTATGGATAGAAACTGCCACGACAGTTTGGCGTTGCTGGCATGTCTTGGCCTGGGTTTTTTTCGGCGGGGACGAGCGGGTGCGTTCGGCCGACCTGGAACAAAACCAGCCTCCGCTCTATTTGGAGACGAAAGGAGGGCGCGCTCGTCCGGCGCATGAAAAGAATCTTTGGCCACACAAGACCAAAAAGAACCTGATTTGTGGTGAGTTTTGTCTTTTCAAACATGTAAAGCCCAGGGCAGCGCTTAAGTGTACACGGGTATTTGATTATTTACGTATTTTGGGGTATTTTGTTCATTGCCATTTGTGTAGGGTATGAGATTTAAGCTAGCGGCTGCGTGTTAGTATTGCTCTGTAAGCAACCCTGAACTCTTTGTGCCTTCAGCCGGGCCCGGTCCGTTTCAAGAATGCGCGCCCGTTAGGTGTATTGAACTAACGGGGGGGGAACGGATCGCTCCAGAGTGAGGAAGAGCAGGGAGAGACTAAGCGGGCTAGATCCATTTGTTCTTTAAGAGAAAATGGAGGGAAGTACACTAGAAAGGGATTCAGACGTCCCGTAACAATGGCAATGGAAAAACGGTTGCACATTATGTGCTGCTCATTCGGATCTTCCGGAGGGAGGTTTTTTTTTTTTTTTTTATGTCCTTCAATCGATTACGCGTCTTGCGTGAAAATTAGAAGAAGGAAGGGAAATATTACTTGGTTTTAAGAATATCACGGCAAAAGACGTTAGAGAAAGAAATATGTAAAAACAATAGCTCCTCCGCTTTTCACCGAAGCGGAGAACACACAGGCGAACGCGTAAGGCGATCAGCCCCGAGAAATATTCCCCAAACTCCCCTACTAACAATAAGTGCGCACCCAAACAAGGCGTTGGGTTTTTAAAAAAGGAGCAGACTACTGTTGTCCCCTTTTTCCTCTCCCTGTCCAGGTCTGTCGGCGCTTTCCTCCGCACCCTGCCCTCTGCCTCAAAGCCCCAGCACCAGCCCCACGCCCCAACCACGGCGGCGACTCACAGAGTCTCTCGCACCAGCTGATACCCCGCGAGAAGTGGGCCCAAACCCGGGAGCAGAAGAAGAAGCGGCGGAAGCAGATACACGCTCAGGAAACCGAAGCTCACGACTCACTCCGTGGACACATTATGTGAGACACCGACAACTGCTTTGGAGGCCAGAGACAAACTGCTCCAAATCCCGTGACTGTTGCCCCACGGAGGCGGCAGCGTGAAACACCAAACGCACCCGCTGAAACCCCGTTGAAAGTTGCCCCCGCACCGCAAACAGAAGAAGCCATTGGGACCGGCACGTTTGGTTATTAACCAACCCTCATGGACCACAGGCTAACGTTATTTGAACGCTTTGGGCTACCTGGGCCTCCTGCGGACTTTGAGAAACTTAAGCCATAGGTGCCAGAGCCAGGACTACGGTGCTGCGGAGCGCGCAGGAACATGTGTCACGGACTGGCGGCAGCTTTTCCACAGCCCGGCGGAAAGACTGTGTGCTCGACATGTGTCGAAGGACTGTTACCGGAGGAGGCGTTAAAGGCAGAGGAGCTCTCAAGCTCACACGGGGCCAGAGGACGGCAGAGGCGGGCGTGGAGGAAACACGAGCGACTGATCAAACCCGGGTTCACATTCGTCACCAAAGCGACCGCTCATGTCACGTAAGTTTGAACAAGAACAAATTGCAATTGGCACTTTTTAGAGATAATTCATGCTGAATTCCCGTAATATACGCTAACAATCTGTGGTGTAAAAGTTAAAATTCTGGATGATTCAGGGACAACAAATCCTGTGTTAAAAAAAAAACATAAGGTGACAGATTTTGGTCCTTTCTCAAATGAGTGGTCGCTTCACAAAACTCATGGCTTCAGTGTAGTGAAGATAGGCTAACGGAGTACGTTTATTGGGATAGGCACGACTCCGCGGTATTACCTAACGTGTTTATCGACCCACTGTGCTCCACTTTGCACACAGTTTTGTCCGAACCCACGTCTGCAGCGTGGAGGGAGGTCCCTGCATGTATTAATAAGTGTAGCAGTGCTGGAGGCTGGACACAGGTCCAAGATGGACACTCGTGGTTCTCCAGAAATGCAAACGCATGGAGAAGCCCTTTTTATTTTTTTTATGGTTCTCTGGCCGCAGGAAGAAATGTGTGTTCTGGCCCTGACAGCATCACTTCAGCCCCACGGGGGGCGGGGGTCATGCTGCCAGCGCCGTATGCAGCGACCACGCCGGGGCTGCACACGGTCCCACTGAAGGATTTTGAATAGGCCTGATAAAATTGGAGTGGCTTTTTGGATTTTTGCCACTTGTTTGGGTTGAATGAAACCGTACATTAAGGAGTTACATGCTGGTTTGAATCTTGTGTTTTAGTGCCTTTGACTCTCCACCAAGTTTGCATAAAAGCAAAAAACAAAAACAAAGAGATAAACCCTAACAAACGGTGTGAAGGGTTACAATTTTATCCCAACGGAGATCTGTTTCATAATCTGATGGACAGATGCCAAAATGCATACCTAAATTCAACATGATCAGAGGGTTGAAACAATTTTTTATTTTCTAAATTGGCCGGCCAAAGCTGATCTTCTAAACTGAATTAAACAAAGAATGAACAATCAACATGGTGAAATCAAAATGGGACTTATTTTTATCACACTCTTGTGGGGCAAAAAGCCAATCACAATAGTGCATGACGTTGGTCACACAGGTCCTTATTGTTTTAATGCTTTTGAATTTACTTTTTACGTAGTTTTGGGGTTGTGGTTTTTGACATTTTGATTTATTTATTTTTCCTTTTTGCACTGCGGTGGTGTCTTATTTTTCTCCACTAGTGGAACGGATGGGTGAAAGACGATCACGCTTTCAAAATAAGAGCGCTCAACAAATTCTGGGCTGAAAGATATGAAAAGATATGAAATTTGATGGCCTGAACAAACATTTTTTTTTTTACAATGACTTTCTGACCTGACCTGACAACTTACTGCGCAAGCGTTTTTGTTTGTGTTGATGTCATTGTGTGTCCCAGTTGATCGTTGTGTGTGTGTGTATATTTGATGTGCGTTTCTGGTCATTTATTTACAGGCATATGACCACAAACACGACCCGCAGCGGACACAGGATAACTGTGTCCGCTGGATAAATTCTGGATAGATTCTTGCTTTTCCTTTTTTTTTTTTTTCAACAGGCTGAGCAGTGCATTTAATGACAACTAACAACTAACAAACTGACACATAACACACCATTGTTTCATTTGAATAACTTGAAACTAACGAACCGTTGCTGTTTCTTTTGGAGCAGGATTCCACAGGTACAGACCGGCTGCTGGAAGTGTGAGAACATACGAGTGTCGACAATTTTACAACCGAGTCTGTTATGTTGTGTGTTCTGATTTTTATATTGTTTGCCCAAACACCATTCAGCACAAGCTGGTCGCGGTCGCTGGGGCTCGTGAGCAGGCAGCGGGCGAATGCAGACAAGGCAGACAAGGCAGACAAGGCATACCTGCCTCTGCCCATATGCAGGCACTGGCTACTCCAGACGAGATGGAGCTGTGGGCGAAAAATGGCCTTGGTGGGTTGCTGGGTAAACCTCAAACCGGGTTTGCCACAGCATTTCTTCAGAGACTTTGTGCCTTTAGCACATGGCCGAGACCATGCCTGAAAAGGAGGGATGTGTAACTTAAATTACACACAATTGAGGTTCTGCCAAACCTTTGGCACAGAACCCGGGTAAGTTCCAAATTATTCCTTAGGCTGCCCATGCCCCGCCCCATCGCACCATGCCAAGGTAAGAAATACTGTCTGTCTGGTTCTGGTGGATCTCTGGTCCAAATGGACTGAAGTATTTGCATGTAAACACGCCACGAGCAACGCGGTGGTGAAAGCTCTGCTCACAGAAATTGTGCCACAATGGGGTGTCCCGGAAAGGAAAAAAAAAATAATAATAATAATAATAATAATCATAATATATAATTTCTAGTGACAATGGCAGTCACTTTGTAGCAAAATTATTGAGGAAGTAGGTCACTTTCTGGGCATTGATATAAGGAAACATTGCGAGCGAGAGAATGGCACTCTGAGGTCAAAACCTAAACCCATTCGAAACCCTCTTTGCCAGACCGCCCAACTTGGGAGCGGGACCCCGACCTAGAGATCTGCCATGCACCTTTTGTGTGATGACGACATGCTGTCCTATTGTAAAGAAATGAATGCACTACTGTAATCTATTTCTGCCTAGGTCAGGAGCGCCCTGCCACAGGCGGTGCAGGCGGCTCTGCACGAGATCGAGCCATACGACTGGGTCCTGGTGAAGGAGACAAGACGGAAACATGGATCCCATCCTCATCCTCCTGGTGACGGACACGGCTGCTAAAGATCGCAGA